GCACAAGTGACATATAGATTGCGATTTTGTGCTCGGATTTTTAAACTCCCTACAGGTAAAAGAAAAGTCGCAATTTGGTATCGAGAATTACACCCAAATCTCTAATGTGATCTACTTCTTTTAATGGTACATCGTCAATGTAATAATATCTAGTCACTGAGAGCTTTTTTCTAGTGAAGCGTACCACGTGGAATTTGTCAATATTCAAGCTCATACCATTCGATTTGCACCTTAATACTAGATTGGCCAAGTAATTTTGAAGAAACAATATATCCTCTAATGAATTTACTGATCTAAAATACTTCAAATCATCGGCGAACATGTGAAACTTAGAATTTTGGAAACACTTACCGATATCATTAATAAAAACGTTGAACAGTATAGTACCCAGATGGGATCCTTGAGGAACTCCGGAAAAGGCAGTAAAAAGCCAGATTTGGATCCCCCTGCTACCACCACAGTCAGCCTATTCGTTAGGAGAAGAGATTATCGCCTATACCGACACATGATAATTTGTGCAATAACATATCGTGATTGACTTAATCAAAAGCCTTACTTAAGTCAGTGTATATGACGTCGAAAGACAGCGCATGATCAACACCTTCGGCCAGGCCTTCAACGAAGGATATCAGATTAGTCGTGGTAGAGCGAGCTTTCATAAAACCGTGCTGTTTCGGTGCAGTTAAGGGCCTTAAATGCCAAGACATTATAGGGCACAGTAGTTTTTCAAAGACTTTAGCAAACACCGTAATAATTTATATTGGCCTATAGTTTTTCACTGAGTTTATGTCACCTCCTTTGTGTTTCGGTATAACAAGAGAAGTTTTCCAAGCGCTGGGAAAGGTTCCAGAACAAAGAGATTTATTAATTATCAATGACAGAGGTAAAGCTAGAGCACCAGCACACCTTACAGCAAAGATAGATGGTATTCCATCTGAGCCAGCGCCTTTAGTGGAGTCAAGTCCCTTTAAGACCCTAAATACTTAGTCTTTAGTCACTGAAATACTAGTAATAAAGTTAGAGGCGGGGGATTTATCTGCATAGTGCTCGTCTGGAATGGATAGTTTATCAATATTGTAGACCGAAGAGAACTGTTAAGCAAAGAGTTCGCAGATATCCGGGCCAGTAGTGGCAAGAGTAATTTCGTACATCTATCTCTAAATAGTTCAAAGGTCAATAAATCCCGAGGGTTGTTAAATTTACGGTGTTTAGATTTGTATTTATATTTTTCCTTGATTACCTTAATTAACGTGTCTGAAAACCATATGGGGTATTTCTTATTATTACGAGGTTTGGACTTGGGTACATGTTTAACTATGATGGATTGAAGTACTTTATAGAAATGTGCTACCATGTGATCTACGTTTTCATAACGCGAAATTTCGTCTTCCGATGATATACTATTCAATTCATTTACAATTTTAACAAAATCTGCTTTATAAAACATAAATTTGGGTTCGTGCTTGGTTAGGAGATAACTGTCACATTTAATTCCTACACAGAATTCGATAGGAGGATGCAACGGGTCAATCACCGATAAATGGTCTACTTACGTAGAGGCGGGTGATATCCAGTGTACTCATTATCAGATCCAACAGTTTGTCTTTATTGTTAAAACAGGAATTGTGCTGAACTAGATTATTAAGAGACATAAAATCAATGAGCATGTTATTAAGTAGACTATTGAATGTTGCAGGTTTCAGTATGTGACTAACACACTCAAACCTGACTGTATAAGAGTGTTTCCACTGTGGTTTTCTAATATGCGATTGGCATTACTAATAAAATGCTTAAGTATATGCATTTTTACTGGAGGAGGGATATATACGCCACAGATGTACAGGTGTCTGTCTTTATTAAAGCTATCATATATTTCCACTTTAACCCATAAATATTCACAATTTGACTCCTGCGCACTCAAACGGCATGATTTAAAGCATTTAGAGATATCAATGAGAACACCACCTCCCATTTTTTCACCATGGAACCCGCTGTTTTCGCGGTCGCGTCTGTAGACCGTGTAACGGTCATCAAATAATTAATTATCAAAAATTGTGCCATTCAACCATGTCTCAAACTACATTATTAAACAGTTCAACAGTTTTTGTCCTCAGACCCCCAACATTTTGGTAGTAACAAGTAAAAGTGCCTTTTAGTACAAATATAGCAGATATAGCGTAATCATGACAAACGATTCAAAAGATCGAGGTTCTTTACATGGACATAGTTTGATTCTTCATTTTTGCGCATGTATATCCTACCATTACGCACCCATAAAAATTTGTATTTCAGTTCGCGAGCTTTGGTTCGCGCAGCAGCGTGCAAGCTCTTATTTTCCGGGCAGAGATGCTCCATGACGTAGATAGCAGTCTTCTTATCTCCTCCAATGCCTAAGTGGCTCGAATTGAGTTTGTCGTCCCGATTGGTTTTGTTAAAACGTGCGGTCGCAGCGAGAAAATCGTCGCGCAGGAGCGTACTGCCGAATTTCACTAAGATGAATCGAGAGCGCGGACTTGAGCTATTCATTTTGGCTAGTCGAGAGCAGTAATGAATGTGTGACTCAGTGATGGGGCATTTTATAACTTTGCCCAGTTGCAATACAGTGTTGATAAGATTCACCTGCCTATTTTCAGGTACACACTGGATTTCAATATTTGAGCAGCGTGATTATTGGTCTATTTGGGCTATTCGTGACAATAAGGATAGATTATTTGCCCGCAAAGATTCTGTCTCAGATCTTAGTTTCTCAATCATGCTAACGTGTGCGGCAATGCTAGCCTTGATTTTTTCAAGTTCCTTGTTAAAATGAGCTATAGATGCTTCGAAGGAGGACACTGCGATTTGGACCTCTAAAATGTGCGGATGAATCTGGTGGTTGAATAACTGTTGCAACTCTTCGCGGATGATGTCTCAAATGCTACTAGCCGACAGACAAGAACAGTTTGTAGATTTATATTTCAGATTTGTATTTCAGAACAAATAGTCGATACAACTCGGCCCTATGTCCTATCAGATGTTCTTCCAATCTGGTTGCTTTATAGTAACAGCGCATGACACCTTCATTCATTTGTATATTCCACGTCAAACGCTGTCGAGGGAGACCCGCCTTAGTAGTCATGGGTTGTGTGTGAGCCACTAGAAGCACTTAAGTCGGGGGGATGACTGAGAGGGGGTGAAGGATTGTTTGGAGTGGGAGGAGGGTCAAGGATGTCAACAGTAGTATTTTGATTGGCCGCAGCCTGCTGATGTAACTGACGGCCACTGACGGTTCGCATGCTGTCACGTCCAGCGCCAGCTCCAGACGCGCCCCGGTGACCCCTAGGTAGCGGCTTTAATCGCTTATTTCCGTGATACATTCTCCACATAGGCTTAGGCTAATACAACGGGGAGCGCCCATTTCCCCGAGGACACCGTTGGTCTACAAAGCATAATTTTTTAGTACCTAAGCTTAACTGCCACCGAACACGATACAACATTCTTCAGCGGATTAGCTTTCGCGGCAAGTACAGCCTCATTACCGACGATCTCGGATGATGCATCCTATGGGACGTCATGGTAGTGCGGACTTTTCTATCCAGGGCGTTAAGTTCAGTCTGAGTCCACCTGAGTATGCCAAATGTATACATGAGGACAGGCACGACCCAACCGTTATATGCGTGTGTCTTATTCACACCGGCCAAAAGGCTGTTAAGCACTTTGGTCAAGCGTGCATAAAACACGTCGCAAGCTGACTGTTTCATACCAGCCTCAACGACACCGATGTTCTGTGACATACCCAGGTATCGGTACGTTTCAGCCTCGGAAAGGGTCCTTAAGTTGACGGGTATAGATAAGTCTATGCCCTCAGAGTTAGCAACCCTTCCTCTTTCAACGTGGAGGACCGCACATTTATCCGTCCCCAGCTCCATTCCAATAGAATTGCTAAATTCACAAGTGATGTTTAGCAATTCCATAAGATGGGAGCGACTGAAGGCGAATAACTTGAGGTCATCCACATAGAAAAGGTGGGTCACTTTTGTCCCTCCCTTTCGTAGCTGATATCCTCTCCCGGAGCCCTCCAGTAAGGTACTGAGAGGGTTCAGAGAGATGCAGAACCAGATTGGACTCAGACAATCGCCCTGGAAGATACCCCTTGTTTCCTTATGTGGTTCTCCGCAGCCATCATCCGCTCGCCCAGATGACAAAGGATCGTACTCCACTGCCCCATACACTGCTCGAGGAAGTCTCTAACTCTACAGTCTATCTTGTACAGCTCAAGGACTCTCTTTAGCCATGTATGGGGCACCGAGTCGAATGCCTTTCTGTAGTCTATCCAGGCGGCGGAGAAGTTCCGACGGTTGCGTTTCACCACTTTGCCAGTGACCGCGTCAATGAGGAGTGGTTCCTTAGTTCTACGACCGCCGCCCCGACCTCCATTTTGAGCGCGCGACATCACCTGATTTAGTCCAGGTGACGAGTGATTCTCGCGCTCAAAATAGATGTTAGTGTCTTGTATATGGTTGGTAGACACGTGATGGGTATTTGCTCGGGTCTGTGGTACCCTGGTCTTTAGGAACCAAATGGGTGATCCTAGTAGTGAAGAGGCTCGGGAGCAACTTCTGGTTGATGGCCTCTTGAAACTGTCGGGCGAGCACAGTGTGATACACCACGAACCCCTTCAGCCAGAAGTGATGCAGCCCGTAGAGTCCCGGACTTTACCAGTTCGGGGCCTTACGGACCGCCTCAGCTACGTCATCCGGTGTTATAATGACGGGGTCCATGGGCGTTATACTCGCACACTGACTCGCCACAACTGCCGTCCAAGGGCTCTCGCTATGGTTTACGGATTCTGACCACAGGCCGCGCCAGAATGCTACAGTGTCGGCCTGATTCGGTGCTGGGCCCGTTCCACTTACCATTGGTCGCTCCAATGATTCATAGAGCCTCTTCTGATCACTCTGGAAGAGACGATTCTGGTTGAACCGTGTCGACCTCTCGGTATATCGCCGAATCCGCTTTCCTCAAGCAGCGATTCTCTGCTTCAGATCATCTATGTGCTCCGTCAGTTTTTGCGGTATATCCGGCTGGGACAAACTGACATTTGTCCCAGCAAACACCATCCTGACGGTGCGCACAATTCTTTGCCTGTTATTACCTGATCTGAAGCATATCAGTCTGCCGATTAGAGCTCTAGCCTTTGCGATACGTTTCTCAATTCTTCTTCTCCATGCTGGGATAGCGCTACTTTGACCAGTAGAGAAACCTTGGCGCCTATAGTACGGCAGACTGCCAGCGCGGCGCCAAAAAGAATTGAGTTCGTCTCGCAAAGGTCCCGGCTGGCTTCCAAATAGGTCACCAACATTGGCTTCAGAGCCCTCACGACTGCCCGATTCCGCTTGCTTAGGGCTATGCGGGGAAGTCGCGGTCGATTTTCGAGAGGCGTACTGCGCGTTTCCACAATCGCCTCTTCCAATGTACTCCTCATTTGCTCTATTTCTAGCGCAACAACGCGCATCCACGTGTGCGCGTTGTTCTGCAACTTGTGGCACCGCATCCTCAGTCGTAGCAATTTCATTTGATGAGGGAACAGCCTCACGTCGTAGCCGTTCGAGTTCGGCGCCATCAAATATATTTGAACGTAAGATATACCGAACTCGGTCTGCCAGGTTTTGCTCGGTGACGGTAATAGATGGCTCCAGCTCAGTAAAAAGACGATGCATCCTAGCCCGATACGCGAAACCTCCAACTTCTCCCCCTTTCGCCCTAAAATACGCCCGCAATGCGTTTGTATTCATATTGATGGTCCATCGCTTATTATTATTAATTGTTTTTTATTGATATTGTTATAGTTAATAAAAAAAAACAACTGGGACTGGGATAATTTGGCGTTGGGATGTGACGACCCCACCGCCCAGTAGTGAAAGTCAATCTTCTTTATTCTTTAAAACATTATTGATTTTCACTGCTACAATCGGATAAACTCGAGAGAGAGAGATTTTAATTTTTGTTTAAAAACTCTAGCAGTGATGTCATGTCTATCAACTGGTGTTTGGCTACGTAGCAATTCCCTCTTGATTTCGGATCATTGTGGGTTTTAGATGAATGTAACAAATAAGTCTGGGCGGCCATAATGCCTAACATATAACATAGCATCCTGAGCATATATCTGCATGTGGCGCGGGCTTCATATGTAAGTGGCTGTCAAAATTTCATCCTTCCCACGTTACTCACATTGCCATCGGCATTTATAGCATCGCGGTGATGAATGTATTCCTATTCCTCTGATCGCTTCGATCTTCAAACGGATGTTGTCAATCGTTCAGTCTCAATTTTGACATACATGTCAACTGAAAATGATGAAAAAGTCGTCGACACATCAAAATATGATTTACTTCACCTTCACGGGTCATGAGTCTGTATGAATAGAAATTCATAGCACTAACTTTTTTGTTGGTTTCAGCACCTGCTATCAAAAATGATAAATTTTTAAATTGTTACTTAGATGAATTGTATTCAAAAATATTAATTAATCTTGTTCAATCTAGTTACCCGTTACTTGATTTACCATTTTGATATTAAAATGGTATCCATTTTCCCCCTGGAAAAAGATCAAAGGATATTGTAACGCATCATAAGTCCTGTGTGTTTCAGATACACGTTTTAAATCATTATTCCGACGATGATATATTCCTTTATAATATATAAGTATTTATAACTATTAAAGGAACAGGAATAGTGAGAGTGGTACTAATATCATCATCTTATCGACATAGTAAGATGATAGTCTGGCATCTTAATGATAATTAATTGAGAATTGATGATTGATGGCTCTGAAAAATTAGATTTAATTGGAAAATTAGAATTAAATTTTTTGAAGTGGAGAAATTTGAGCTTCATTTCACAACTATGACTAACGACATGCTACACTATAATACATATTAAACATTTTACGGGTGGCATGAGGCATTATATCTTAGTCCTCCGGCTTGGCGACGCATTTGCAATCTAAAGTGAATTATTGAACTTGAGATCGTAAATGTCCATCAGTCTACTAACCATCAGGTTGACTGACTATTTTGCCTTCTTCATGATATAAAAAAGCTCACGGGATAAAATACAATGTGGTATAGAACTAGAGTTGGCTTGGTGTCCTCGATCAATCACCTTCTATTGTTCGCCAACATTTCAAAGTCATAGGTTTGAAAATTAATGACACTGTTTTTTGTGGGGTAAGCCTGTTATTACAAAAGTTCTTCCATATATCCTTTAAACTCTAATCTTTAGGAAACCTGCAGTAAATAAATAACATAAAATAATATGCTCAAAGTTCACAATTAGTAATTTTAATATAATGTATTATATTAAAATACTCATAAATGTTGTGTTATATTTAATTTGATGCAATTTTAATATTAAGCTCTACTATTATAAAGCTCACAATATTTATTAAACAAAACAGAAGACATAATCTAAAAATAATTATAATAAGCACGAGAGACATGGCTGTATAAACCATATGCTTTTGCAATTTTTATCGATAACTATCTACAAGCCGGTATATCATTTTATCGCTATTGACAGCGACAACTCGGATCCGAAAGAATCCGAATCCGAAACAGATTTGAGATTTGATATTGTAATTTTTCAGATTAAAAAGACATAAATGGTACTAATGTCATCAAGAATTACCTATATATGAAAGGTCTTTCTCTTCTCTTTTTGTAAATTTGACGTGGCAGATCTTTTTTATAGCAAAAACTTCAACAATTTGCATTTTTATAGAACGTTGATTCAGTCGCTTAACTACGAGTAAATTTAGTCTAGTAATCTGTGAGATTTCAACTATATTTATTATACGCATGCGACAGCATGAAAGTCCTTAATTACTTTTACTTCGACACAGGGCAATGCCTACCAATGGCTACTCTCCTCCAGTACTTCAGTTGTCCATATTGCTTTATGAATAAAAGTTCAGTTTCCTTATAGAATAATTTTTGCGAAATAAATTAAACATTTTAAAAGTTAATATTATTTCATTGTAAGGATAAAAAATACTTTTAAAGAAGAAAAAAAAAATAAACCAATGTGATTGAGCGACGGGCCTAGGGGTTCCCGAGTTTTATTCCCAGGTCGGGCCTTGACCCTATTACGCGAGATGTTGCTAGGTGGACTGTTTACGCGGGCTTCTTATACCTCAACAAGATGGCGGACGTGGCAAGCGACAGCCTTGGACAATACACTCGCTCTTCCAAATCTATTGCTTCGCCAAGGTCGAGAGGAAGTTCTACTTGAGCCGGCAAGGAGAAAGCAAGTAGGAAACTAAATAAAAGGAAACACACTTACCAGGGTGGGATCCTGGTGCCGCGGGCGACGTTTTTGTCGTAGTGGTACGTTGAAAGAAGGGTTGCGTGACGATCACTCACACTACGTGAGGCGGTTTCTTCTGGGGTGCGATTCCCCCAGGGATGCGATCCAAAACAAGCAGTGCGAAGTAAGGTGACGCTCGAGGGCTGCACGCGAGCCTTTATTGGGTCGGCCTTCCCACAACCTCATCTCGGTGGGGTGCGCGTTTTATTGGTCGAAAGAATCGCGTCACCTTTTAGACACCCCCTCCCCCTTCAGTGCGTACGGAAGGGATATGAGGATACAGGAAGGAAAGACACTTGGCGAGCAATATACCCTCGAATAAAATTATAAAATAAACGAATCATTTCCGCGTAACCGCAATGCACATTTTTATTATTATTCAATTAATTAGTTTGGCTAAGTGTTTGGCTGCAATTTATGGATGCAGACTATTCTAGGTCAAACCGGTTAATTCAAAGATTGCAATCTTTCAGTCTGAAGCTCCAAAAAATCATAATGAAGTAATAGGTCCAAAGGAGAAAAGTATTTATGTCTATATTTTTGATATACAGTGGAGTCTTGCTTGTACTGTTCTCATGGCTTTTTAGTTTGTTATTCGTAGTCGTTATTCTCAGCCGAGTTTTCTTTTTGTTTAAATCTTCATGTTATCTTCCTTAAACACAAGGTTTTCTGCTCCAACTACTGTTAACCAATGCTTGCATCCGAAAAAATAATACATAAAACTTTATTTTTAAATAATTTTATTATAGAAACAGAAGATAAGTAGTCCAATAATTACCTTAAATAACTACCTCGCAACTTCTGATTACGTGGTCACTCGGGTCGGGCCAAAATTAGTTGTTGAATATTTCTGTCAAAAAATTCTTAGAAGCAGCCAGGAGTCAGCAACTTGGCGGTGGTGAATGGAAGTAGAAACAGGTAAGAGGGTGGTAGCTACCATTAAATCTCTTTTCACTTTAATATTACTATAAAACTAAAAATCTTGTTACCACTTACGAGTTCTCTGGATCAAGAACAAAAAACCATGTAGTGACAGTGCTTAGTCTTAAGTAACTACTACCCCATGTCATCATTTCATGGGTGTCGTAAAAAGCGTCAGAGGAAAACAAATTAGGAGATAGGCAGCAGCGTCTTCTTAATAACGACTATAAATAAAAACTGCGTTGCCAAAGCGCTTGCCAAGAGTGGCAACTATGGAAAATATCCCCCTATTGGGCAATCTATGGGAAAGGCTTATATTCAGCAGTGGCCTTTAATAGGCTTTAACGGTAACGGTAGGAAACATAGTAGGGTTATGCTGAAATTTTATAGCAACTTTAAGTTGGTATTCTTTGCAAGTGTAGTTCTTGCAAGCTTGAGCTGACCTATTTCTGTCTTGTGATTGTAATTGCAACTGCTGATTGTGTGGTCCTTGTTTTAAATTCTAGGTTGGACCAAAATCAATTATTCGGTGTTTATGTCAGGAAATTATCAGTACCAATCCTGAGTTATAAAGTTGGCAGTGTTTCATCCCCGTGCCTCAGATAGCACATAAAGTTATTGGTTCTGCGCCTATCTTTCTCCGGTTTTGTCCGATTGCTGTGTCATCGGACATTGAGAGTTAGGGAATAGAGTGTACACACTACACAGTACACACACTCGTTCACTGTAATAGAGCACTGCGCAGACTAGCCGTCTTGGTTTAGCAATTGAGAGAGGGCGGGAGGTGTTTTTCCAATGTAAGCCACATTTTATAATTTCATTTTCTAATTTCTAATGTCATTGTTAACATGTTACGAAAGTAAAAGATCAGAAACTCCGAAAAATACTAAGTAAGCAGGGAAGCGGTAGCCGCAATTGAAATTGGTACCAGTTTCATACAGAAGTTGCGACATCCTAAAATTACTCTTTAAAAATAATATTACGTATATTATTTTTTATTACCAAGGGTTATTACCAGCGGTCGGAATTAGGTAGAGTTATTTATGTACTTGCATCGAAATGTTGATATTAATATGGATCTTCCCGGGATTTCAAATTGACAATCCTGTGTGGCCAACAATATTACAAATAAATAATAAAAAAAAACAGAGATAGATAACACAAATAAAACAAAGATAATTAACATACAACTTTTATTAGTATTTACATTAATTCACAATACAAATGATTAATAGTCTTAAGCAAATTCTCATACCTATACTTCGCTTTTTTATAAATACGAAAATACTTTTGTTTCTAGTCTAGACTCTTAAGGTTTTGCTTATTCAAATGGTCAATCCGAATCATTTTCCTTGTTCGATTCATTCAAAGTATCGCAAAGATTTGACGTGTTCGCTTCCAACATTACTGTAAAATTTTTTTTGGAATTTTGCAACTTCGGTCATCCGATGTCGTTAATGTAAATATGGTAACGTCGCGATAACTTTTTTATTTAATAAATCACGGGATTTTTCTGCTCTTTCAAATTAATCCCGGGATATGAGGCATATCTACTTTATTATTTCGCTGTATGAAATCAGTGTAAGTACATAAATAACTGTACCTAATTCCGACCTCTAGTTATTACTCTAAGTGCTCAACGTACACTGTAAAGCGTTACCAATACCACGGTAATACTATCTATACAGTATTCCAACTTCATACAAATGGACGAAGCGAGAGCTATGCCTATGCGCCTCGATCTCGGCATGCGCTCGGCATGCAGATAGTCAAGACTGTGTCGCAGTGATGATTTTGTGAAATATACAAAAAATGGAGGAAATAAATAATAGAATAGAAATAAAGAAATAATAAATCTGAACTTCATTTAAAACCAAACATATAAATTGTAAAGTAGCTGCAGGTATCTATAACCAATTAAAAGATATTCCTTTTCTCCACGTTGTCCATGTTTCCCAAAACAATTTTTAATTTATATTAATTTTAGCTTTATATTAGAAAGCGGATTTTTTATATTTAAAAATCTAATAATAAAGCATTTCGTAAGTCTCAGCCGAGGCGCAAATATTTTTCGATCGCAAATTTATAAGACCGATTTGTTATTCAAACTTAAACATGGTTTTTTAAATAAATCTACCAATCAAAAAACGACACGCATTTTTATTGAACACTTCCTATTCAATTCACAAAGTACCTATTTTATTTGTTTATATAAAAAAGTATATTTACAACATTGAGCTATTATGTTACGTAAGTACATATTATTTCAATGATTTACAATCATAAAACTAAATGGAAACACAAAGTAGGCAAATGTAAAAATGCTGGAGGCAGGCAGCCCTATCGCATGTTTACGTGCCGCACGGCTGTAGGCATTTATTTGAAAGATACGGCCGAGTTACAATACTGTATAGATAATATTACCATGCCAATACGCTTATTTGCTACGTTTGTTAGTTTGTGTTTGTTATCCTGATCCACCCTGGTCTCAAAACTTTATCTATGCTCAGAGCAAAATATACTTATTATACTCTTTGGAGCAAACTCTGATAAAAAATCAAGTATCCAAGCCAAAAATAAAGCTGTTAAAAAAAGTTGACACTAGCATTTGACATATATTGTCAGGTGTACCAAAATTGTGGATGAAAAGTAAATTAAAAAGTAGGGATGGGCAAGTGAAAAAAATATATCGATATATATCGTATCGGCATTTAAAAATAGTATCGATATATATCGACAGAAAAATATCGATATATCGATATATCGACATGTTTTGCATGATCATTCATACATAATATGTATTCCCAAAAGATTCAATATACGGGAAAAAAATACACACATGAAGAAAATAGTATATTTTTATTAGAAAGTAATCTAATCAAACCAATATTCATCCGAAATTGACATTAGTAGCACTCTCTGTTTGACGTGCTCTCCTGTCAAGCGGCTTCTGTTGTCGGGTACAGTTATATTCACAGCTGATGCAACTCTTTCAGAAGAGACCGAAGAAGCCTGGCAAATTAAGTATTTAAGGGCGACTTCTGAAAGAACTGGCGTAAAATGTTGGCAATTTGTCCAAAATTTTATTGGATCAGCCTTTCTCTCAAGGAGAGGTTGATCAAGGTATTGCTTGAGTTCATTGGGCACAGAGCCAGAGCTCGGGACCTCGGGCACGGTTGTTGACTGGGATAATAATTTTTCATGCCCAGACCAAATTGAACTCTCAGTTTTTTCTTGTGCTTTTCCTATTTGGATCGTTCTAAGATCAGGGGAAAGTTGACCCCTGCGTCGGTGTTCGCTCCGAATATCATTACTAATTTTGGCTATGGCATGTGAAACCGCAATTGGTGAATTGAAATGAATTTTTTTAAAACGCGGATCTAATATTGTTGCTGCCGACAAATATGAATTTTCTTGTAAAGGTACCAGTCTTTCTTGAACTTTTTTAAGAAGAGCTTCTTTAACAATTAGCCCCAAACTTGTAGATGGACTTAAAGTTTCCACTGCTTGGCGAATCAAATTTGTAACCGGAATGGCTAAACTGGAAGTCACGTAATTAGCCCCACTTATTTCTTCCGTGGCTTCTTTGAATGGGCCTAAAATAGCCACAATATCTCGTATAATATTTAATTGAGAAGTTGCGACCATGTCGGGTGTATTTCGGCTTGTCTGACTTTTAGTAGCTAAAATTTTAGCTACTAGTGCAGAAAGAGTGGTAAATCTTTTTAACATGTCAAAGCACGAGTTCCATCTTGTGGTGACGGCTTGTGTTAATGTCAACACCTCCCCTTCTTGCATACCAGATACTTCTTGTTCAGAGCGTAATTGATCCATCGCATTTACGGATTGTTTAAAATACGTCACGATGCTCTTTACGTGATCGCAAAGAGCTGAAAATGCGTGATTTTCTTTCAACACCCCATCAACAATAAGATTTAGGCAATGTGCCATACACGAAATTCTGCGATCGTTCCCTAAAAACAATCGCACTGCCGCCACTATATTTGCACCCCCATCAGTTGTAATGGCAACAATTTTATTTTTGTCTATATGAAATTCTTCACAAATTTCTTCCCAGCATTCTTTTATGTACTGTCCTGAATGAGCCTAAAAAAAGAAAATATTGTATATATTTTTACAATGTGAGAATCAATTAGGATGTAGTTATTAAATTATATCAATTAAAATAATTAAAAGGTCTGGATAATTGATAAATTACAAAGTACTACAAAAACACACCTGAGTCAGTTTCTGCGCACATAGGCTTACATTTTGAAGGATAGGCGATCCCTTAACGTTGTCAATAAAATGAACTGTTAATACTAAGAAGCTCCTTGTAGAATTAGTGAGAGTAAGTATATCACTTGTAAAACATAAAAAATTTTGCTCAGTCAAGGATTTCATAAGAACTGCTTTTGTGGTATTATATCGATTTTCTATCATATGAGTTACCTGGAAATTACAAAAAGTACCAGTTATACTACTGTGATATAAATTTTTTAATTATAAATAAGAATGATAATTTTTAATATAAATACCTTTTTTCTGGAAGGCAGTTTATAAAGAGGGCATGCTGTGCGCATAAGTTTTTGCAAGCCTTTTTTTTCAACACATGATAATGGCAAATTGTCCTTACATATCATGTAAATCAGTGCCTGTGTTATTTCACTATGTTTTTGTCCACCTTCTGAAAAATAAAAATGATCATAAATGATCATAAGTACTAATGCAAAATTACTCAAAAAATCATACGTAATAAATGAAACAAACTGTGAATGTCAAATGTAAATCAATAATATTTTATCGATATTGAATGGTGGACATCACTAAAATGTAATAGATTGTACTTTGAATGAAATCATTACTTGATTTATCATCAATCTATGGCTATGGTAGTACTCAACTAAAATTTCAACTAAGAATACTCTCACAACAACAAAAAAATATGCGTGCAGTTCACCCGCAGTAGAAGTGCAAACTTCAAATGAAATGAAATATAAAATAAAAATATTTTTAAAAAAATAATTTATTTAATGATAATTTTCAACCACTTATGTGGCATAAAATGTAATATAAAAGTTTAATTTTGCAACACATTTTATAGAGATATTATATATATAATATAATAATAATAAACCAGAAATAATATTAGAAAGTAAGAATTAGAAAATCTATTAGGACATAACAATAATAACAGATAAAACTATTAATTACAACAGACCTGCCTTTCACAACAAAACCAATAAAACAGTTTACCTGATAGATATAGCAATACACCCACATAACATTCAAATTATTATATCTGAAAAACTAAGTAAAAGAACTTGCCATAGAAATTAAAACTCAATGGAAAGCACAAAATGCTTACAGCGTACGGATAGTCCTCTCATCCACCCATATTATACCAAAGTCACTCGCACAAAGCCCTAACACTCTACACATGCCTACTCACACTTCACATGCTGCAAAAAGCCATCATTCTCAACCCCTGTTGCATCACCAGAAGGGTTTCTGACATCTTCTACTTTATTATCCACTTTTACTATTTAAATTTCCCCTCACACACTTGGCTCTGTGTCGTGTGTGTGGTTTCAAAATCTCAAAAAAGAGAAGAAATATAAAGAATTCATATATTAATAATAACAATCCTCATTTTTAAACATGTAAAGCCTTACTTTTTGTGTAATAAATCAAAAGAATTTAGTTTAGTGTAAAATTGCTTAGCAATAGCACCATCTACTCCATTAATAAATAATAATAATAAATTTTTATTGCTGCATAACAATGAGTTTACATAAAATATATATTAACATATTGTCTAAATATTACATCTTAAATTATATTAGAACCTCTGACTTCTAAACTAGGCAGGGCCTGTATCATAGAAATCAGCGCTCTTCACTCATTCTCATTCTTTAGGTAAAGTTATTTTATCGAACAAAATTGATTGAATTTTAAGGTGGTATTAAATAGCCGCTAGTGACCTGACATGAAACATGACTAATTTAATATAAATTGATAATTTATGAAATTGTAGATTGTTATGAATGAATTTGGATATGCTAATTTTATTCAACATGGTTAATTTCATTTATTTAATAAATTTATTATAACTATAAGAAATTACTTGCTATTAACACATTTTCATTTAAAAAGTAAAACAAAAAAAAAAACACCTTACTTTGCAGTAACATACCTTCGAAGCTTGAGCCTCTCTCTAAACAAGCTACTAAGGTGCTTTGTTTTCTTTTTTTTAGCTTCATGATAAACCATCTCAGCAGGATTGACTGTGACATCTTCTTGACTTTGCTGGGAATTTTTATAACCAGTACTAGTGGATGGCAAACTAAGCTGAAAATATAGAAAAAGTAAAAAAGAAAGTTAATACAAAAAAGTTAATTCGACTCAGTCTATTATTATTAGAGAGAGACAACTTGTTTAGTTTATTTTAGTCTTTGATTTATTATTGCTGTTATACTAAATACTCAAAGATTTTAGGTTATATACTTTAGGACATATTAATATTTGATAATCTTACATTGGAGTTATTCAAGTCTACTGCCGCAGCGTCTTCAGTTTCTTCACTAGATTTAGTTGTTTTCAATGAACTAGGCATTTTCATCATTTGCAAATAAGCAAAATGATGCCTATTTTTTAAATGAGTGGCCAAATTGGTTGTATTACCGCACGTTTTATACGACTTGCCGCACAAATTGCAAGAAGCTGAATCATTGTTGTTGTCTTCTTTTTTGAAGAACTTCCACACAGAAGACATGATTGATAAGATTCGAAGTTCGAAGCTTCGAATTCGAAGTATTTTTAGTTTTAGCTTTATTTTTAACTTTAAACTTTTAAGTTTTCCGTAGAAAAATACCGTTACTGTCTTGCTGTGTACATCATAAACACAAAACACAAATTTGAATTCGTAAGTTACGAGACACAAGTTACGAATCGTAACAGTGAGACCATAAACAAAACCAAAAGCAAAAGACAAAAAAATGCTTATGTTTGGTCTATGGTCTTACTGCAATATTCGATTTGATGAAGATTGTAACGAGATTTTTTTTAAATAAACGAAACAAGAATTGCGTAAAAATATATCGAAATTGATACGAATTCGATACTCTAAAATAAATATCGGAATGACGATATATCGCGATTAAAAATATCGACGATATATATCGATTATTTTATGAAAAAATATCGATATTTCGATATATCGATATTTTTTACCCAAGCCTATTAAAAAGTCAAGTCATCTGAAGTCATCGGTGGCTGGTGAGCTGTTAAGGAATATCAGAACATTTTGTTGCAATTAGTGTTTATTTAAATTTTTAAATAATGTCTGTTAATAAAGAAGACACACTTCGCCAGTTTTGTGATGTTACGGGTGCTGACGATGCTAGAAGCAGATTCTTTTTAGAATCCGCTAATTGGCAACTTGAGGTGAATTTTCCAACCCCATTTATGCATGTTTTCTAAAATACCTAAGTATGTGATAAATCTGTGTATGATAAATATAAACCAAATATTAATTATATATTTAAAGTAACTAGTCAATAAAAAAATATGATATGACAGCGGTATTCTTATTTGTGGAATAAAGAAGTTTAAGAAACATTTAATTAGATTCTTTTGTCTTTTAATATAGTAGTTCCCATTGTATAGATCTTAGAAATGAGAGGAGGCCTGTGCCCAGTTATGGAAATATATATGGGCTATAGCATTACTTTTTTGCTTTATACAGGTCTATTTTTTCCTTTTAGTACACATTTGAACTTGTTATCCTTTTTTTTGCAAGGTTGCACTATCCAGTTTTTATGAACATGGTGGGAATGTTGATGATGCTCCTGCAAATCCCACACCTGCTGTGGCTTCTCTACCAACTCTATCTGATAGTGACATGGAGTCACCACCTGCCTCACCACTTCATGTACAAAAGAAAGATAAGAAAAAACAAGCGAATACTAAGTTTGCCACATTACAATCGTTGCACTGTGCCAGCTCTAGTGAAGAAGATGAAGGTGAGCGTTGTTTAAAGCTTATAAACATTCAATTAATTTAATTTTCTTTGCTTTAAGTGTGTAAAAGTATACTGGCACCCTTAGTCTCAAACTTCACAATGTTAAAATATGAATCTAAATAATATTATGTTACTCTGACTAGGCCTTAGTGAGTGAAGGTCTTACTGAATAACATATTTAACAAAACCTAGGTGCATGAGTATGGAGAATAATAGACAAACAATGGATGTGAATCCTGTATACAGTATAAACAAGTAGTGCAGCCTGTATATAGTATAAAGGCTATGCATGTCAGGAATGGTCATGTGCTATAAGGAATTATAAAATGATTAAATATTGGTATAAAAAACTATAATCTGAATATTATAAATTCTCAGGTAAGTAAAATAAACAAAACGGGAAATATATTACAATTAATAATATTTTTTTGTTATCTTAAGCTCTACAATTCTGTCAATATAAACTTTAATAAAATTTGTTGACAAATGCTGTTGAGAATGGTTTTTGTAAGGTAATAATATCAAATTTAAATTAGAGATGGATTTCACCGAATATGAATATTCGGCCAAATATTATTCGGCGGGATCACTTCGGTACCTAACCTTTTTTTGTTTAAATTTGTTACCGTAAAGCGCAGGACTTGCACCGGACCCTGTCCCTCGTTCCTCCGCCACACCTGACATGATGTTGCATTATCTAGTACTGAGCAAATACCGGCACATGCTTATGTTTTGACAAATGTTGTGAGAAAAAAGTATTTTGTTGTGTTATTCGTAGTGAAAATTGATACTTATATGATAAAAATGAGTGGCAGAAGATCTACTATTTGGACTTATTTTAAAGAAACTGACGACGTAAGTAAAGTGAAATGTACTAATGTAATGTAATGTTTCTTTGTTTGATTCCGAAAACATTTTATCAAGCTTTCTATTTGCTATAATTGGAAATAAATCTACAGCACCTCAAAACATAACGGTATACAAGTAGATTAAACCCATAAATAAAATAATACTTGCAACAGTAAAATTATGAGAAACATGACATTACTCAATTTGTACATTTCAATACAGTGGACACTTTGAGTAGCAATTTAATGAATGTTCAGTGATTTAGCCGAATATTCGTTAAAGCTAAGTAAAGTATTGTTTCCTCTGAGAACTAAATGGAATGCTTCAAAGTTCGTATCATACTGGCTCTTTATACCCTTTGGACTGGAAGAGCAGTGCAAGGTCTGTTATTTAACAGTAGAAATAGTTATCAGGGTGGTGCCTACTCCAATGGACTCCTAGTAAAAAATGGTACAACCTTGTCATAAGTAGTTTTAGGTCAATTGCAAAATTTGTACTAAATGTACATAAAAACACGCTAATAAGGTGATATGGGCTGCTTAAATACTTAACAGTTGAAGGATATATATGTGAATGCACACTCTCACTAATGTAGCATGAATGGGTCATCTCGACTAGGGTAGACCCATTCTCTCACAGCAATCAGCATAAAATAACAGTTTAATGTTACTGTGTTTCATATGGTGAGTGTAGAGAACAGATACCCTTTTTACTGGAAGCGGGGCATTACATCATAGTCCTCAGGGGTGACAACGCATCTGCATTTTAATTCTAAATTGAGGATAAATGTAGTAGATGTCTGTGGGCCACAGCGTCTGCTTACCATCGGGTGGACTCTGTGCATGTTTATCACTCTTATTCTATAAAAAAACCTCATAATATTTGCCAAATGGAAGTCCACAGAGAAAACAATCCACTGGATGATACAAAAAAAAAAAACTAAAGATGTAACAATAAAAATAAAATAATTCAATAAAAGTTTTTTACAGATGCGTCATTTTGGTTACAACAGTTTTAGTTTTACTCTTTTATGGTTCATAAATATTCTAAGTCATGATTGTACACAAGTTAGCTTTAAAAGGATTATGATGTTAATTTATATATTTAAACTAGATGAACCTGGCATACATCCTTCCAGTTAATATTATAGGTAGTTATGGTTACACCAGCACCACCCGTAATATGTATAAAGCGTCCATCAGGATAAATACATAAACGCTGAGTATGTAGTAATTTAAGTAGATTGTAAGCATAGGATTAAGAATTGTAAAAGACAATGGTCAGAAGAAATTCACATCTCTCTCTGTGAACACATAGTTTTTAATTAGTTTTTAAAAAGCTCTCGGCAGCTCCCGCAACTTCACCGGAAAAGCTGTGCCACCGTTCGTGAATATTGCGTATACAATTTTACCCATTTTCACCCATCGGCGAGCGATTCATACATCGTGATAATCCAGCGAATCAAAACAAATTCGTCGAGAATAAGGAGCCGTGAAGCTGATGATGGGTACTGTGGGCTGGTGAGTACGACTCTTCACCTCCTTCATATCCCTTAGTAAGCTTGGAATTAGACATTTTCCATTTTGACTGTTATTTGGGTTTCAAATATTATTCTCCCATATTACTCAATAAACAATATAGAGTAATATTATATTAAGTATATATTAAGTTCTTATTGTGTCTACACTTGTTTGTTAATTTAAAGATTACTCGACACGTTTATATGTAATAGTTTAGTACTTATACTCGAATTTTCCTTACAACATTTGTGGAACTAACTAGAGTTATAATAAATATTTTATTTTATTTCTTATTTTTGTGTAGTACCAGTGAATAAATTATTAAAAATGTCGGAAATTAAACTTATCCCTAATGAATTAACTAAAATAATACCAACATTTAGCGGCGATAAACGCCATTTAAATTTATTTTTGCGTAAATGTGAATATATAATAAGTAACTTTAAATCATCCGAAGTGCAAAATGAATATATAATGCAAATCATTACTAGTCGTCTTACAGGCGAGGCTGCGTCGCTTATTAGTGAACGGGAAGATATAGAGACATGGGAATCAAGGAAGTTTTTACGCATTGAATTAGAAACTTTAAAGAAAACTGTGTTTTGTGGTCGTATATAATCTGTTAAATCAGTGCTATTACCGAACGTTAATCAAATTGGTGATAAAAACTTAAAAATAAGTAAAACTATTATTTATAATAACACTGCTCTGCAGGTTTTCTTATATAATTTACCTGAAAATATGGTGCGCATTTTTAGGTTGAAAACACTCAGTACACTAGAGGAAGCAATAAGTATAGTTCTAGAAGAAGTAAACTTCTATGACCAATATTAGATGCGTAATACAATGTTACGGTCTAGCCATATGTCTAAGCCACAGTCTAGTAGTATACTAGTACAACAACCATCGTTTAAGTTCGCAATGCCAACACAGCCTACAGGTTTTAGATCAATGTTAGCACCAAACCAACCCCCTAGGCAGAATTTCGGAACACCACCTCAATTTAAGTTTGGCATTCCGCATAGTAGACAAATGAGGATTCCGTTACCACAAAATAAGCCTCAACAGCAAATGAGTTTCCCTAAGCAATATCACCCACCTCAGTTTGGATACCGACCAAACTTTGGATTTAGACCCCAGGGCTATAGCCCCATGCAACCAATGTTACCACAACAATTTGGTAATTTTCAGCGTTTTAATTATCCTGCTAATAATAATGTGCATAATAAGCCGGTTTCTAATGATACTGATGTTTCTATGAGAACTGCCCCTCCAAAGCCAGGTTTCCGCCTAAACGAATTAGAAATTTATCCATCATACTATCCCTACGAATTTCCTCAAAATTACATGTATGAGGAAACATACGACAATTATTATGAAGATGAATCCATACAAGAAAATGCTATAATAGAGGTCGACGAAAACAATGATTCAGAGGATAATGACATGTCTGCACAGACTGAAAGTTTTCAAGTAAAAGCCTCCGAAAACCCGAAATAATAGAATTGAATTGCGACATACATCTAAAACTACCATACATATATATACCGGAAATAGATGCTAATTTTATGATAGACACAGGAAGCACCCATTCCTTTATAAGCCCTTTAAAGCATACCAATACTACCGTAATTATATAACAAATTAACCCTTTGAAGTTATAAGCACTCATGCATCTAGCAAACACGATCAGGTAATTAAAATTCCACTATTTTCTATAATTCAAAGTAATGACGAACATAAATTTTATCTTTATAATGTCGATTCACGTTATGATGGGTTAATTGGCAATGATTTATTAAAGCAGTTGGAAGCCGTAATAGATTTAAAGAAACAAGTACTTACCACAAATTCTTCTAGGATACCTAAAATACACAATAGCTTAGATTATGTTGTAATACTTCCACCTCGTTTTGAAGTTAGAGCAAAATTACCCGCTAACATGTTTTATGGCGAAGGAATATTAAATTATACCCGATTCTGTGATGGAGTGCGCATGCCTTCTGCATTGGTAAAATATGAGAATGGATATGCCATTAGAATTAAACAAAATACGTTGGATCATCAAATGGAACTATCTATTAAGAAACCTTTTGAAATTTGTGAATGTGTGGATGATAAATCGTATGTAAATTCTATAGATCACTGATCTAGAAACGGACCAGTTATTGCTTGAAAATTTAAACATGTTACCCGTAAAGAGGACAAGCATACAAGGAATAATAGTGTAGTTAAGCAGTTAGACTTTAGTAGCATTAAAGATGATTTAAATTTTAATATCAATTTTTTAGCAGTTTAGTAGACATCCGTAAGCCATACGTAAATGAATTCCAAAATATGAACACTCAAGTAAATTATTTAAAGTAACTTAGCTGTAAAAAAGTTTAAACAACTCATACCTTCGATACGTTTTAAGAGCGGTCTTATTAATCCATTAGGTTTTATTATCAAAGCGTTAACACGAAACTTAGACCACAATGATGCAGTAAAATACGACAATCTCATATCTCAATTAAAGACCCAGCAAACGCACACTAATAAGAAAATAACAATAATCTCGGAGATGCTTGACTCTCTTATAAATAGTACTGGATCTCTAAAGGAAAATATGAAAATTATAGATGAACGAATGAAATGTGTAAAAAAATTTGTAAAATATATAATTACTAAAGGCACGGCAGCATATACTCCACATATGTTTTAAGTATGTTTAACATGTTTGTCAATAATTTTAGAACTATATACTTAATTTTAAGCGAAATAGAAATGGCATTAGCATTTACTAAACTTCACGTTCTACATCAAGCCATTGTTATTTCCACTGAATTATTAGTTATATTAGAATCTATATCTCAATCAAATAGTTTATTGTATCCTATTACTAAAAACAATTTAGTTAATTTAGAAAGATCTATGTCTGTTAAGGCCTATGTAAAAGAAAACCAAATAACGTCCATTATGGAAATCCCTCTGACTGATAATATTACATACACTTATTTTAAAATGTATGCATTACCTATGTTTGATCCCACCTATAATAGAACAACTGTGATTTTTCCCAAATATCCTTACCTCATGGTGAAAGATCACACGTACTTACCCTTAAATGGCCCATGTCAGGCGATATCAGCAAACCAGTTCCTGTGTGAGGAAAATGATATCGTGCAGTATCCTGAAAACACATGCATAGAACAACTTATGAACTTCGCATCAAATCTAAGCCTTTGTAAACTATCAATAGCAGAGCTGGAAAGTGTTAAGACACAGTCTATTGGTCCTATTAACTGGATCCTATTTACACAAAATGAAATAGTGCTTACAAAAACGTGTGGCGATGTCACTCAAAGAAATGCTGTAAAGGGCATGTACCTCTTGGAAATCGATGAAAACTGTGAGATAAAATTAGGCAATATTAAATTACACCGGAAACGATACTATTCCGGAAAACTGCATTATAAGGTGACACCTATTTTAACTCTACCGAAATTGATTGAGCAGCCCACAAATGCGGAGAAAACAGTGAATTTAAATCGCGTTAATTTGGATGAACTAAAATATCTCTCGTACAAACTGAAAAGTGAAATAGTGCAAAGTGAAAGTGAAATCTTAGTGAATAAGAAAAGTTGTTAGTTTAGCCACTGTACTACTCTATGTTATATTAGTTTTAATTAGCCTTATTATTGTAATTTGGAAAAATAAGACTAAGCTCTTACATTGTATGCAAAGTCGTTGGAATCCAAATCTTGCCGCTAACTTTGCAGTTGAGGAGGGAGGAGTTATGGTTGCACCAGCACCACCCGTAATACGTATAAAGCGTCCATCAGCATAAATACATAAACGCCGAGTATGTAGTAATTTAAGTAGACTGTAAGCATAGGATTAAGAATTGTGAAAGACAATGGTCAGAATAAATTCGCATCTCTCTCTGTGAACACGTAGTTTTTAATTAGTTTTTAAAAAGCTCTCGGCAGCTCCCGCAACTTGACTAGGTTGTTTTCAGCAACATTTTTTATTTTAGCACATGCAATTTAGTTTAATAATTGCCACACTTGATAGAAAAAAAGGAAATAAAATCAAAATTTTTAAGTGGTTTCTAAATTTTTATTTGTTAAAAAATATAAACCTCTTTTGAAAAATACATATATGTATAATATAATTTCATAAATTGACAAATAGATTTTGAGTTAAAACAATTTCATATATACAAACATCCTCCTTTTTATGTATAGATAACAAAATAAATCTTCAATTATGTACCTATGTCAAAGTTTGAGTGGAATAAAGAAATACTAACATTGTTTGCCGAAGGATATTTTCAAGACTTAAAGGAAACAAGTAAAATTAGCAATGAGTTTTCTAAACAAACACAAACTCAAGAAAGATTTTCTTTTGATAGTCAAAAAGAAATAGAACATTTAAAGACAGAAATAGAGTCACTGACATGTGAGAATATTACTTTAAAAGCAGAAATACAGAGACTCAAAGAAAGCTTTGCCAGAGATGATGCAGGTCTGGTACAATTACCACGTTTTAATATTATGTAAATACTATAACATAATACCTTATTTAAACCTGTTATATTGCACATTATTTTTGTAGGTTTTAATTGCAACCATATTTGCATTAATGTAAATTGACCTTGTAGGGTATATTTTTTATAGGTAAAGCATAATTTTGGAAATAATAACTTCTTGATACATTTCTTTTACTAAAATCATAGAACCTCAAAGAAAAATTGACTGCTGACATAAATATCCTAAGTCATCTTTTAGGTCAAGCTTTCTACGCTGGAGGTTCAGAGAGATCAGGTCAGCAGATCTTAGGTCCTGGTAAAGGACGAAAAGATATTGTCACAGAGATGTTTAAAAGTGTCAGAGAGTGAGTATTATTTTGTTTAGTAAAGTAAAATATGCAAATCTATTAATGTTCACTGTAAGGCATGTGCAATAACATCAGACAGGTAATGATGCAGTGTTAGAAGAATGGAGGCAATCACCATACAATTAGACCCTAAATAAATACTGAGTATAGTTTAGCCTGGGATTTGAACCCAAGATCCCCAGAATAGTATCTGATATTCTGACTTCTAGGCTAAAGTCATTATAGTGCAGAGAATAATGAATTATAAAATTGGACTAGTGTTTGAAATTTGTGAATTGTAGTACGTATCTTTTATAAAATGTTCTCCGGACTGAATTTCGGTCTTTGCACTAGTTTCAATGGTCTTGCCATATGGGCAGGACATCTGGTCTGACCCATGATAAATCATGACCTGATCTTCATGATCAACAGTTGCGCTTACTACTAGGTTAACAACGTAGACATTTTTTTCTAATAACAGAGCGTAAAACGAGCTGCCAGTCCACCTAAAGACAAGTGTAACACTTTCAAGCATTGAAGCCTCGTTACCAGTAAATAGGGTCTCCGTATATTTTAACATACTACTCTATACTATATACTCAAAGATGTAAAGATGGGCGACAGCATCCACTTACCACAAAGTAGACTCTTAAGCTTGTTGGTACCTTTACTTCTAAAAAAAAGATATGAACAGCAATACACAAGTTTTGTTTTTGAATTTGAATAATTTTATAAAAGAGTATCTGGCCTACTGCACCGCAGGTCTCCGGTTCGAGTTTTAGCTGAAGTCAGCCTTTATCTGATAATACCATAAAATGCTTAACACAATTATAATAAAACTCAATATTAAGTAGTGTTAGATTATGTTTTGTTCGTGTTATAATGTTGTGTGTGAGAAAGGCCCGTGTCAGTGAATTGCTTACAAAATGATGATTTTTTACGTGGTAGATCCACGCTGCAGTTATATTATGATTGTAGCATAAATGGGTCGGCTCGATCATGGAAGGATCACGCTCTCACAGAATACCAGCGTAAAATAGCAGCTTAATGCTGCTATGTTTAGTATGGTGAGTGTAAAGAACTTGAGACCCTTTTTACTAGAAACGAGGTATTCCATCGTAGTCCTCAGAGGCGACAATGCATCTGCATTTTGATTCTTAATTGAAGATAAATGTTGATGTCTATACGCCACAGCACCCACTTACCATCAAGTGGACTGTGTGCTTGTTTGTCACCATAATTCTAAGTATAAATAAAAAAAAATGTTTTTCCGATATACTTACTATCTCAAAAAATTATACTAAAATATATAATACATTTTTATAGTTAATATTGTAAAATAATATTGTAGAAAGAAGGACTTCACGGTTATGGCAAATTATTGTGAGGTTTCTTTTTTCAGACAAGGCGCCGTGGTCTTCGATAACGAACCGACCTCATCGGGTAGGGGACGCGGAGCGTTCAGTGGTGCTGGATACAGACTCGGTAAGTGAAAGTTGAAATATCTACATTCTATGTTTTAGAAGTAAAAGCATCTTTTGGCACTGAATTCTTATATTTACGCGAACACTACACGTTAATTAAAAATAACTTTTACGAATTTTATCGCGTTTAATTAAAAAAAAAATAATTCCCGACGTTTCGGGTGCTTTCCAGCACCCATGGTCAAAGGGGAATTAATAAGCTGAAGGTACTCCGGGTTAACATTGACATTGGGACACCAATCTTAGCGGTCAGCCGCCGTAGAGTCTACATTACCTGAAGATGCCTCGTGTAGAGGCGAAACACGTGTCGTATTATCGTCGATGGTGTGTCTTACCTGGGATAGTGGTGTTGGGAGTAGTGGTGCCGGGACTAGTAGTGACGGAGTTAGTGCATGCAATTGAGGGAGGGCGGGGGGTGCTCTTCAATCCAGGTAAGACACATCATTGTATTTATTTAGCGGAAGGTTGCACAGAAATTTATATTTTTTATTTATTGGGACACCAGTCATCTTAGTCCCCCCGTGACCGTGGGTGCTGAACAGCACCCGAAACGTCGGGAATTAATAATCATTTAAATTAAACGCGATAAAATCCGTAAAAGTACTTTTAATAAATGTTCTTTAGGAAAATTGGGTTGGGCACTTTTGGGATCGGGAAAAAGCACTGAACTTGCGTGACTGACGAATTGATATGTATATATTACATAGATAAAATTATAATTCTTTTTTATGTAAAACAGCACAATAAATGAAAATTTTATTACTATATTAACATCTACGTTGATAAAAATAATTTCTGATAAAAAGACTTCCTAAAATTATTTTTTAACAACCCAAAAAGAATGTTTACAAGTTTGTGAAGCTAAGAAGTTTTCACTTCTGACATGCAGTCCTACGAATGATAGTATTAAAAAAATGTGGTGGGAAAATGCGGTGCGACCGCCGCAAAGTTATGTTGGATTCTTCCCAGTGAATTGATGCATATGGGTGTTCCTCAGGGGTCAGTCTTTGGTTCATTTTTATTCCTAGTTTATTTTAATGATCTGCTGCATATACAGGGTGTTAGTGTAAACACCGTTATCCTTAAAACCAGTGGTTTGGTTTCACTAATAGAACATAAATTCAATGAAAAATAACATTTTTTTTAGTAAAATCAAAAAAATGTTTGCCTGTTCTAAGCCAGGATGAAAGTATAAAGGAAAAGTTACATCACAGGTTATGTGTACCTATTGTGTTTTTATTGGAATGTTGTGTATGTAGGTAGGGCGGGCGGTGATCTTTACAGTGATTATGTCACTCGGGTGCATAGGGTATCCATGAATTTACGGACAGTGTTGGACAGAATTTTTTTAAATTTTATAAAAGAACGTTACGTTTTTTTTTAAATTCGGATTAATATTTTTATATTAAAGCCAACTACATATGGTTTTAGTGACAACGGTGTTTACACTTACACCTTGTATAGAACTAGCGATCCGTCCCGTTTTCGCACGTGTGCTTTTTGGATCTCAACATTATATTATTATATGGCATTATACATATAAACCTTCCTCTTGAACCGTTCTGTCTATTGATGAAAATCACATCAAAATCCGTCGCGTAGTTTAAATGATCAAAGCGTACGGCGGAAAGCGGCTTTATTTTATACTTTGTAGTGATTTGTGTTATGTTGTGTGTGATAGAGCCGTGGTAGCTCAGATGGTCAGCGCTCGCTGTAAATTTCACAGTACGCGAGCAAACCGGGTTCGATCCCCGCCGGCACCAATGAAATTGTTAATTGCAATTTTAAGTGCTGATTTACCACGTGCTTGGCGGTGAAGGAAAACATCGTGAGGAAACCTGCATGTCTGAGAAATAAGAAAAGAAATATATATTTCGAAGACATGTGAAGTTCGCCAACACGCATTGGGGCAGCGCAGCGGACTATTCCTTGCCCCAAAACCCTCTCAGAGGCCTGTGCCCAGCAGTGGGACGTATATAGGCTGTAACTTTACTTTACTTTTTATGTAGTGATTCTGTATCAAGTTTCTTCTTATTTTGTTGCTAATAACTGACTTCTACTACGTAATAACTTTACAGTATAGTCAAATACGTATAGATTCTGGGTCCATTTTTAGTCTTAGTTCATACTAGCGACCAGCCCCGGTTTCGCCTGGATAGAATCCTTAATATGCCGTTCTGTAAATTTGAGAAAATCAAAGGCCATTTACTTTATCAAAGTATTTTTTTCAGTCTTCAAGATTTTGAGGTAAAATATAGCTTGGATCCCTCCAGGTACAGCTCTTTATCAGCTCGTAAAGTTTCATAACAATCGATTTAGCCAATCCGAAGATTATATGGATAGACAGACAGACAAAAAATTTTAAAATAGTTGGTTATCAATATTACAGACAGAAATTTCTATTATATTTATGTACTTTACTTAATCTATTAATATATAATCTCCCACCTATATATAATTCTGTATTAAGTTTCTTAGTTAAACACAGCGAAAACAAAATGCATTTAATTTGCAATAAAAGAGTATACATTGATTAAAACTACTTTTACGGATTTTATCGCGTTTTATTTTTATTTTTAATACCCGACGTTTCGGGTGCTTTCCAGCACCCATGGTCACAGGGTACTGAGGTGACTGACGTCCCGATGTCAGAGTTAACACGGAGTACATTCAGCTTTTTTAATTATTGTCTTTGGTCCGATCTACGCAGAATGAACTAACTGTGTTTTGAATTCTTGCAGTGGTATGCTTGGGTTTAGTTTTAATTTTATTGTTATAGGGTCCCAAGCAGGTGGTAGTACCCAGCCTCCTTCTCTATTGAAATTAGGATGTTTCTTTAATTTCAATAGCCTCACGTTCATCCTTGGTAGGAATCGATGTTCTTTCGCGAGGATTTGTGGTCTATCAAATCTGATGTAATGGTTGGGGCCATCTAGGATATGATCGCAAACTGCAGACTTCCCGGAACGTTGATGCTTTACGTCAGCTATGTGTTCTTTTACGCGGGTTCTAATTGATCTCTTTGTTTGCCCTATATATGAGAGACCACAATCACAATCAAGCTTGTACACTCCTGCATCTTGTAGAGGAATATGACACTTGACGGATGGTAAGAACTGACTAATCTTCCTCGGCGGCTTGTAAAATGTAAGGAGCTAATAGAAGCTCGCTTCAAGTTGTAGCCAATTTTGTCTGTGACACCTCTGACAGATGGTAGTACAGCAGGCACACGCTCGACTGTGGCCGGCTTCACTCGGTCACTGTGACGTAGGCGCGGGACCCGAAGCTTGTTGTCGCGCAGAAACTGCTTGACGTGCTGAAACTCGGCGGCCAGGTGTTTGCTGTCACAGATACCTCGTGCTCTCTGTAACAAAGATTTGCCAACGGTAGCTAACTGTGAAGGATGATGGTGAGATTCACCATTTAAATATCGGTTTGTATGGGTCTTTTTCTATACACAGTATGACCTATGGTGTTGTTAGAATTTCGGATGAACACATCTAGGAAAGCTAAGGATTTATTTGCCTCTAACTCTATAGTAAATTGAATTTTAGAGTTTATGGAATTAAGATGTTCTAAAAATGCAGTTACTTTGTATGATGGTAAAAGAGTTTTACAAGCAAGTAGATGGTGTTGCGATGGGCTCACCCGTATCTCCCATTGTAGCCGATATATTCATGACCAAAGACAATAGTTAAAAAAGCTGAAGGTACTCCGTGTTAACTCTGTGTCAGTCATCTCAGTCCCCTGTGACCATGGGTGCTGGAAAGCACCCGAAACGTCGGGTATTAAAAATAAAAATAAATAAAACGCGATAAAATCCGTAAAAGTAGTTTTAATCAATGTGTAGTGTTCGCGTAAATATAAGAAATCATTATGTAAAAGAGTATACATTCACAGTATAGCCATATTAAATAGTATAAAGGGAAGTAGGTTTATAAATATACATAATCACACACGTCTGTCACCCAGAGGGGTAGGCAGAGACTACAGACTTCCATTTGGCATGATCTTGACACACTTCTCTCGCCTACGCATACATGCTCGTCGGTTAAGGGTACTCTTAATATGGCCAATTTTCAATATATAGGCAATTTGGTCGATAAACTTTCGCCTAAGACGTCCCTGTTCCTCTACTTTTTGAGAGGGTTTTAGTGCAAGGAAGTGCCCGCCGCGCTGCGCGTGTTGGTTGCAATTAACAATTTTATAGGTTGCCGGTGGGGATCGGATCCGGGTTGCTAGCGAGCGCTAAGCCCCAAGTTACCACAGCTTTTATATACGATTCGGTTTATAAAGTAATCAGTGTTAATCAGTAGGTATATATTTATTCAGGACAAACAGCTGATGATCATGAGCAAGTCACACCTGGCGGTAATAGTCAACAACAGGTAATACATTTTTTTTTATAATTTTTAACAATATACTATATAAATGGAACTTAAGTGAGAGGATTTTTTATAGAATAAATGTGACAAACAAGCATATAATCTACCTGATGGTAAGTGGATGCTGTGGCTTATATCTACATCTATTCTCGATTAAGAATCAAAATGCAGATATGTTACCACCCTTGAGGATTAAAATTGAATGCCTCGTTTTCAGTAAAAAGGGTCTCCGATTCTCTACACTTACCATACGAAACACAGCAGCATTAAGCTGCTACTTTACGCTGGTATTCTGTGAGAGCGTAACATAAAAGAAGGTTTGCCATATTAATCGCCATACTTAGCAGATGGATCGGCAACCATAGTTTTTTATTTTGATGTTCTAAGAAGACACTGCTGTCCAATTCCTGGGTAAAATTTGTTGGTTCATCATCATCATAGGTATCCCTCATGGAATGCCACAAACGTGGTCTTTAGCTAATGGCATATCGATTTTCTGCATCCCAATTTGTTGGTTATGTCACTCTGTGTTAACGGTACAGATTAGTAAGCTGAAGTGGCAATGAGCGAGCCATATAGCTCGAGGAGAACAGCCGATGGGAAAGAAAGGTTCTCGAGTGACAGTCTTGTACCGGTTGGCGAAGTATAGGGTGGCCCACCACTAAATGGAGTGACGACCTGGTAAGAAATGCAAGAAGGCAATGCATGCATTGTTTCTTCTGCATATTGATGATATGTTGCAAACCCGTAACATTCATTGCTATGCAGATGACAGCACTGGTGATGCTCTGTACACCGGTCGTGCCAATATTTCTCGGGAAAATGTCTCCGAGTACCGGGACAAACTTGTGTCTGAAGTCGAGTCTTTGCTGAACAGAGTCTCGGATTGGGGGCGACTAAATCTAGTCCAGTTTAACCCTCAGAAGTTTGCGCGTTAACCGCCAAAAAGTACCCCTTTGTCGTATCTCCGCAGTTTCAAGGCACTCCCCTTGTTGCCTCAGCCAGTATCGGAATCCTCGGCGTCGACATATCGAGTGACGTGCAGTTTCGTGGTCACTTGGAATAGAAGGCCAAATTGGCCTCTAAAAAGCTTGACGTGCTCTGCAGAGCGGGACAGCATTTCATGCCGGCACACTGCCTGCAACTTTACAAGGCGGAGGTTCGGCCGCACATGGAATACTGTTCCCATCTCTGGGCTGGGGCTCCCCAGTGCCAGCTCCTTCCACTTGACCGCATCCAGCGCAGAGCGGCTCGAATCGTTGACGTCCGAGTGCTTTCAGATCGGCTCGATTTACTGGCGCTGCGAAGAGATGTTGCATCTCTTTGCATTTTCTTTCGCATATAGCATGGGGAGTGCTCTCAGGAATTGTTCGTATTAATCCCAGCCGCCAAATTTCGTGAACGCACTACGCGGCAAACGTCCCGATACCATCCACATCATCTGGATGCTTGGCGGTCCACCACTGTACGTTTCACAAGGAGTTTTCTTCCGCGTACGACCTTTCTGTTGAATAGTTTACCGCCGGCGATTTTTCCGGACCGATACGACCTGGGGACCTTCAAGAAAAGAGCTTACTCCTTTCTAAAGGGCCGGCAACGCACCTGCAATTCCCCTGGTGTTGCGGTTGATCATGGGCGGCGGCAGTCACTTAACATCAGGTGAGAGGTGAGGTAGGTCATTGGGGGGGGGGTTCTGCAATGCACTTGTCAAAAGCTATAATGATGATGATGATGTAGTTATGATATTCTGTCTGGCATATTACAAATAGTATCTATCTTCTATTTAGTCTCAGGCATAATCTGTTTCACGAACCAAGTCATGCGGAAAATTATGAAATAAAAATGTAAAATGTAAAGTATGGAGTTTGACAGCAAATATCGAATTACGCGAAGACTGTGGCGCCTTAGCTAAAGGACTTCTTTATTTAGAAGGACTTCTAAATAAAGAAGTCCTAATAAATAGTTTAAATCGGATACTATTAATAAAATCACTTTTTGTAATAAGACGGTGTATGTTCAATGTGCTTGCTATGTGGCGATTTTTCTGTTACGAGGGCGGCGACATTTAGAAATGAGGTGAAATATTTGACAGATTTCATGGCAGAGAAGTTATTTTATTGGGAAAGTGTAGATTACTGTTTCTTTGTGAAATATTAGTTATATTATTTTATATTTATTAGATTAGAAATGAATAAACCAAACGACGGAATTTCTTTTTTTTATAGAAAGGGTGACAAACGATAAAAATGAGTGGCAGGAGATCTACTATTTCGACTTATTTTAGAGAAACTGATGACTAAAGTGAAATGTACTAATGTAAAGTAATGTTTCTTAGCTTTATATTTCCTATAATTGGAAATAAATGTACAGTGCTTCAAAAACATTTTTTTATAGGATAGGGTGGGGTGACAAACGAGCACACAGTCCACCTGATGGTAAGTGGATGCTGTGGCCCATAGACATCTACATTTATCTTCAATTAAGAATAAAAATGCAGATGCGTTGCCAGCCCTGAGTACTAAGATGGAATGTCTCGTTTCCAGTAAAAAGGGTCTTATGTTCTCTACAATCACCATACGAAACGCAGCAGAATTAAGCTGGTATGAGAGCGTGGTCCTATCCCCGGTCGAGCCGACACATTCGTGCTGCAACCACAATATAGCTAGATATATATATATATATATCTATGCTATATATATATATATATATATATATATATATATATATATATATATATATATATATATATATATATTCCTAAAAGTAGAAGAATTTAAAAAGTAATAATGTATAAAAATAAAGAAGACAGCACTAGGTATTGTTTTGTATATACATATATAGGAAACTGCAAAACTTACATAAAACGTAACTTTTCAATCATAATGACATTGTGTGATATCTGCATAACTGTCCCAACTAGCTAGTTAACTGTCCCAACGAGATTTAGCGAGCTTTGTGCATAACATTATTAAAAAGAAATTAGCTTCTTTCGTAAGGTGTATCTCTCGACATGTCTATCGAACTAAAAAAGTTTTACTGGAAAAACTCATTTAACAGGAACAATCTCGGTCCGTGAGGCTGCGGCTGTACCGTGAAGGGTTCACGGTGGATTCGGGGCCGATTAGAGCCTACACTGATCCAGAGAATATGGAATTCCTTAGCAGTATACGACGAGGGTGAGTTGTTTATTTCATTGATAAAGTACTGACCGCAATAACTTTTCAGATAGTACCAGAAGTTGCTGACTTAAGGGGAAATATAACCTCAAATGGCTTAGCAAGATCCTCCGTTATGCCGAAAATATTGCAATATTAATTTTGAAATAAATATATGGTAAAGTTGAGGATTAATGTTAAGTACTATGTTAGACGAAAATACAATTCCGTAAAATATTTTCGATAGAAAAAAAATCCAAAGTTACCTCCAAACTGAACAATAAACCGCTGTTATTCATAAAATACTTTAAATAAGATCATGAAACTTTGCATACTAACTGAACTAACTATAAAGCAGGGCTTATGTTTTTTATTTTTTTTTAAATTACCATTATTTTCACTGTAAAAAGAAATTACCTAAACTATCGGCGTCCTGAAGCTTATTTCCTGTTCCAAGCTTAAACCATATAACAGCGGTTTATTGTTCAGTTTGGAGGTAACTTTGGATTTTTTTTTCTATCGAGAAAATTTGTTTTCGTCTAACATAGTACTCAACATTAATCCTCAACTTTACCATATTTCAAAATTAATGTTGCAATATTTTCGGTATAAAGCTTTGGTCTCCTGATCGTAACGCACAACGCTGCGGTAAGCAGCGTGCGGTGCCGGACACATAATCGTATGAAAAACGTGTAGAATGGTCTCTTGTTTCGTCGCAGTATGCGTCAGCGGCGAGGGGCAAGCGCGGGGAAGCGGGGAGCGGGTACTCCGCACTGCGCGGCGTCGTTCTCGTTGCGACGCTGCGCTGTGCGTCACGGGTTGACAATGGATTAGTTTGAAGATAATTTAATATAATTAATCCGCAATTATCCCTCCTTATATAGGGGTGGATGTCCACCTAACATTTATAAAATGTTGGTGGACTACTTCACCTCCAGGCGTGTGGGCCTCTACATCGGGGACCGGGTAGAGTGGAAGGCCTCGACCATGGGATGTCCTCAAGGCTCTGTGCTGGGCCCAACACTGTGGAACTTGTTGATGGACGATTTGCTCCGACTCCCTCTGCCTGAGGGAGTTGTCATGACTGCCTATGCTGATGATGTCACAATCTTGATTGAAGCGGATACGAAAGCGGATATCGAATCTAGGGCCAGGGTCACTCTGGACCTTGTACGGGAGTGGGGGCTGAGGAATCGACTGAAGTTTTCCTCCTCAAAGTCAACCACAATGACTGTTAGAGGGAAACTTCAGCGCCCCCCCCGTTATTAAACTTGGTGGGGAATCTATCAAGACTGTGACTACCGCTAAGGTACTAGGTGTGGTTTTGGACTCAGGACTATCATTTGTGCAACATGCGACTGATATCTCTGAAAGAGCGACCAAGGGATTCGGCAAAATAACTCGTGTATCGATATCCTCATGGGGTGTGCGATACCAGAGTTTAAAAATTGTGTACAGGGGAGTGTTTGTGTCCACGCTTGCGTATGCGGCAGAGTGCTGGTACGAGCGAGCGAACATGTATACAGTCCGTAGCGTACTACTGAGATCGCAACGATCCGCCCTTGTATTGCTGACCAAGGCGTACCGATCCACTAGCACGGCGGCCTTACCGGTGCTGGCTGGAGTCCTCTTAGCTGACCTGGAGGTCATCCGTGCTGGTAGGATGGGTGTGGCACGTCTGACCGCGCCCAAAGAGGAGTTGAGCAGACGAAAGCGCGAAATCTGGACTGAGGTGATAGGTGCCTGGCAGGAACGATGGATGAATGATACGAAAGGACGCGAACTATATCGATTTTTCCCGGAGGTGGCGTTGAGGCTCAGGTATACCTGGGTCTCACCGGACTATCAAACATCCCAGATTCTCACCGGACATGGATGTTTTCGGAAGAGATTATGCGACATGCGACTGTGTGATACGAGTATGTGTGAGTGTGGTGTGTCAGAAGAGGATGTTCACCATGTTCTATGGGAATGTCCTCTGTATGACGACCTGAGAACGAAAATGATGGATGTACTAGTTCGAACGGTTCAGGGACCGATTTACTACTTGGATCTCGTCAGCGATGGGGTGAACTATGGACTGCTGCGCGAGTTTGCGCATAGGTGGCACGATCGTAGGATAAGGCAAGATAGAATGCTGGTAGTAAGGCCCGACGACGTAGGCGTTATTGTGCCGTCAGCCCCAGAAGGGGGAGAATGACGTTAAACTGGGACAAGGAATATAATAAATATTTGTAGGGAGTCAAGAAAGTGCGCGCGGGAAAGAGCAAGGTGCAAGTACCCTACGCGCGCATCTCCCGAGATTAGGCCCGTATGACCTGAGGGTCGGTGGGGCCATGGGAGGTGGTGGGTTGTCCCTATCCCTCATATATATAACATAAACACTCACGCCTGTCACCCAGAGGGGTAGGCAGAGACTACGGACTTCCATTTGGCACGATCCTGACATACCTCTTTCGCCTCCTTTACATCCATATATCTACGCATACATGCTCGTCGGTTAAGGGTACTTCTAACGTGGCCCATTTTCAAAATATCGCCAATTTGGTCGATAAACTTTTTCCTAGGGCGTCCCTTCCCGACTCGGCCATTCACATCTTCCATATAAATTTGCTTTGTCACTCTTTCCTCATTCATTCTTTCTACGTGACCAAACCACCGAAGCATTCCTTTCTTAATCCTGGTCACAACATCATCTTGCATACCACATTTATCTCTTATCACGCAATTTCTCACCCTGTCATTCAGATTACACCCTAGCATATTCCTTAAAGACCGCATTTCTACAGCATTTATTCTACTTTCGTGCTTCTTCTACCACACCCAGCTTTCACTACCATACATTAAAGTAGGGACTAACACAGCATTATGAATTACCATACGTGCCTGTTTTGACAAATTCTGGTTCTTCATAATAGAGTATAGTGCCCCATTCACTCTATTCCCTGCATTTACTCGTCGTTCTATATCCCTATCATATCTACCATCCCTGCTAAATACACATCCCAAATACACAAACTCATCCACTTGCTCAATCAACTCTCCTTCTATTCTTATTTCACATACCGTTTTGCTTTCTTCTCTTTCAAAAACCATCACTTTCGTCTTACTTGCGTTCACTTTCATTCCCCTTTCTTTTAATTCCCAGTTCATTAATGTAACCATCATTTGCAACTCTGCCGCCGATGACGCAAGTATGACTTGATCATCGGCATACAAAAGGCATTTGACGGTTAACTTGCCCATTCTTAACCCACATTCTTCATCTTTCAAAGTTTGCAAACACCGGTCCATAAATAGGTTGAACAGCACAAGGGGAAGCCACACAGCCCTGTCTGACACCTTTTTGGATGCCAAACCAGTCCGAGTAGACCCCATTGATCCTGACACAAGCACTAGAGTCCCTATAAAGAGACCTTAATGCCTGTATCAAACCAGCGCTCAACCCATATGAGTTCAGTGTTTGCCATAACACATTCCTGTCCACTCTGTCATAAGCTTTTTCCAAGTCCATGAACGCACAAAAAACTTTCTGGTTTTTGGCCAAAAACTTCTCCGCAATCATGCGCATGGAAAAGACTTGATCTGTACACCCCATTCCCTTTCTAAAACCCCCCTATCCCTCCTTATATAAAAATAAAGACAAACTGCTTCCTTCCTCCTCCTAACACAAATTTCAAAACTATTGTTCATATTGACACGTCTGCTTTGGTAGCTGCGGCAAAATCAACTGACCACTTCTCCGCAAAGATACTAAACGCTGCGTCGTAACGCTGCGTTTGAGCCGCATACCGCAGCGTTGTGCGTTACGATCAAGAGACCAAAGTTTAACGTAGGATCTTGCTAAGCCATTTGAGGTTATATTCCCCCTTAAGTCTGAAGCATTATAACCGTTACTGTTATGGTTACAGCCTATTAAAGGTCACAGCTGAACTGAGGCCTCCCCCATATATTGCCTCATAGGTGGGATATTTGCCATAGTTGCCACGCTTGGAAAGTGGGTTGGCTACCGCAGTTTTTTATTTTTAGTCGTTATTAGGAAGATGCTGCTGCTCATCTTCTGATTTGTTTCCCTTGGTTGCCTCTTACGAAACCCACGAGATGATATGGGGTATTCTTACACCGCCGCTACACGGTAATCGTAGGTATCATTTTATATGTGGTAGAGCCATGCTGCAGTTATATTAGTAGTATAGTTGTAGCACGAATGGGTCAGGCCGGGGACCTCTCAAATACCAGCGTATAACAGTAGCTTAATGCTTCTGTGTTTTGTATGTTGAGTGTAGAGAACCGGAGACCCTTTTACTGAAAACGACATATTCCATTTTAGTCCTCACGAGTGACATCGCATCTGCATTTTGATTCGTAATCGAGGATAGATGTAGATGTCTGGGCCACAGCAACCACTTACCATCAGATGGACTGTGTGCTTGTTTGTCACCCTATCCTATAAAAACATCTTAATTTAAATTTATTCATAAGTGTATGTACATATTATTTAAGTGTGATAATATTTTGTCCACAGTGAAATACCGAGTGAGTTGTCAAGGGGGAGGTGGAGAGGTGCGAGTCAGTTTAGAGGACCGTCGGCACGAAGAGTGTCCTCGAGGTACTTCGTCCAAACCACAAGCTTTTACTGGAAAGGGGCATATACTTGGAAGGTAAGTTACTTTACAAAATCACTATTGGTTGTTATCTCCTTAAAGATTTTATATATCATAGTATGTTATCTCCTGTGTTTCGTAGAGTTAGCGGAACCGGATGCCTTTTACTAGTAATGAGGCTTTCTTAGTCTTCAGGGGTGACAATGAATATACATTTTGATTCTTAAACAAGATTAAGAAGGAAGACGTAGATGTCAGGGGACCATAATACAGATCCAGCGTGGCTCTGCCGAGGAAAATATAAATTGATGATACTTAGAATATAGAATTGATGATACATCAGTGAACACTTACTGTCTTTGTCAGGCATGTCACATGTACCATTTTGCTGTACATTTGGATAGAGCAGACACTGGGGCCATGCTGTTAGTCACCAAATATATATACCTTTAAACGAGCAATTCTTGTATATATATAATCGGAATCTCGGAAACGGCTCCAACGATTTTCATAAAATTTAGTGTCCAGGGAGTTTCGGGGGCAATAAATCGATCTAGCTAGGATTTATTTTTAAAAAATGTCCTTTTGTCAATGTTTTCAGGCAATAAAAAAACTGCCACAATATAAGAAGGTAAATTTTGACATATAGCTTAACGATCGTAATAGCTCAGGTGGGATGTCGTTCGGGCGTGATATCGGAGTTCCGTGGTTCGCGTCCCGTCTTGCGTCTGACTTCGAGCTCTTTTTTAGTAATTTTTAAAAATAAGAAAAATTTTAATTAAACTAATTGCACTCATGATTTTCATTCAAATAACCAGTTCAGTTTTTTCTATTATGACAATAAGATCAAAAAATATTATTCATGTAATTTGTATCTAAATGTAACTTAAAAAACATAACATACATAAACACTCACGCCTGTCACCCAGAGGGGTAGGCAGAGACTACAGACTTCCATTTGGCACGATCCTGACATACCTCTCTCGCCTCCTTTACATCCATACACCTACGCATGCATGCTCGTCGGTTAAGGGTACTCCTAATTTGGCCCGTTTTCAATAAATCGCCAATTTGGTCGATAAATTTTCGCCTAGGACGTCCCTTTCCGACTCTGCCATTCACTTCTGCAACATAAATTTTCTTTGTCACTCTTTCCTCATCCATTCTTTCTACATGACCAAACCACCGAAGCATTCCTTTCTTAATCCTGGTCACAACATCATCTTGCAAACCACACTCTTCTCTTATCACACAATTTTTCACCCTGTCATTCTGATTCAGCCCTAACATACTCCTTAACGACCGCATTTCTACTGCATTTATTCTACTCTCGTGCTTATTCTGCCATACCCAACTTTCACTACCATACGTTAAAGTAGGGACCAACACAGCATTGTGAATTGCCATACGTGCCTTTTTTGACACATTTTGACTCTTCACAATAGAGTGCAGGGCTCCATTTACTCTGTTTCCTGCGTTCACTCGTCGTTCTATATCCTTATCATATCTCCCATCCCTGCTAAATACGCAACCCAAATATACAAACTCATCTACTTGCTCGATCAACTCCCCTTCTATTCTTATTTCACATATCGTTTTACTTTCATCTCTTTCAAAAACCATAATTTTTGTCTTACTTGCGTTCACTTTCATACCCCTTTCTTTTAATGATCTGTTCATTAATGTAACCATCATTTGCAACTCAGCCGCGGACGACGCAAGAATAACTTGATCATCGGCGTACAAAAGGCATTTGACGGTTAACTCACCCATTCTTAATCCGCATTCTTCAACTTTCAAATTTTGCAAACAGCTGTCCATAAATAGGTTGAACAACCACGGGGAAGCCACACAGCCCTGTCTGACACCTTTATGGATGCCAAACCAGTCCGAGTAGACCCCGTTGATCCTAACACAAGCACTAGAGTCCCTATAAAGAGATTCCAATGCCTGTATCAAGCCAGCGCTCAACCCAAATGAGTTCAGTGTTTGCCATAGCACATTCCTATCCACTCTGTCATAGGCCTTCTCCAAGTCCATGAACGCACAAAAAACCTTTTGGTTTTTGGCCAAAAAACTTCTCCGCGATCATGCGCATGGAGAAGACTTGCCTTCGTAACTTAAAAAAAACCGAGCAATACTTGGTCATCCGGGTAATAATATTAATACCTTCTAGACAGAATTTCGGTCACGGCGGCGCATCTCAAGGGAGACTAGTCACTCAATAAGAACAGGATTATGCACTCTATTCCCTCACTTTCATAGTTGGATGGAACGGTAAACCGACACAAACAGCGTGTGATGAGGCGCAGGAACAACGGCTTTTCGTGCTTTTCGAAGCATGTAGTGAAACTCAGCCAAATTCTTTCTACTACTGGGTTTCTTGACAGAAAAACCCAATAAATAATTTTGGCCCTACCCGAGATTCGAACTTGGGATCTCATGGTCACCAATCGCGTTTACAACTACTAAGATCAACGATGCAGTCTGATAATAATTATCGATGTTAAGAGAAAGTTTCAATATTTTAACATTGATGAAATGCAGAATGTACAACATCATAACATCAATATTCATCATTATCATCATTACAGGTTCTCAAAACACAATCTTGACACTGCCCTTACTGGTATGTCCTAACCACGACTTGGTACATATACTGTATGAGAATATAACGTTGTAATGATGACATTGTTTTTTGTGTAGTTTTGAAAAACTAAAAATATAATCACACTTAAAACAAAAAAGCGACCAAATTTAAAACATTTTAAAAATGAGCTAATTTTTTTTATGGAATAGGGTGACAAACAAGCACATAGTCCACCTGATGGTAAGTGGTTGCTGTGGCCCATAGACATCTACATTTATTCTCGATTGAGAATCAAAACGCAGATGCGTTGTCACCCCTGAGGACTAAAATGGAATGCTTCTAACATATTATAAAATTGGTTGAACGGAGATCAGTGTGAACGTACGTCGGACACGGGATTTTATATATTAAGATTTTTTGAATTTGCTAGATAGTTTTAATAGTGTTAAATCATAGAAATGAAAATTTACAAATTTGCAAACTATATAGAGATGTACCTAAAAGAAAAAAAAAGAAAAATTAAAAAGGTGAAAATCGATATTTTTTATTTTAAATGAAACTTTTCAATTATATGACATAGTGTAAGGAAACCATTTGTTTATCGTGTGGTGGCGGTGTGAGAATATCCACTACGCCATATCATCTCGCGGGTGTCGTAAGAGGCGACAGAGGGAGATGGGCAGCAGCATCTTTCTAATAACGTCTAAAAATAAAAAAAACTGATGTTGCCAACCCGCTTGCCAAGCGTGGCAACTATGGCAAATATATATGAAGCAATCTATGGTGGAGGCCTATGTTCAGCAGTGGGCTATAGGCTGTAATGGATGGATGTATACAGACAGGTTAATCTACCAGGAGCACATGACTCACTGAGAGGTGAAATTATTAAATCAACAGTAACATTACAACTATGACAAATATCTCCCTTATGAAGCAATCTGTTGTGGAGGCCTATGTTTAATAGTGGATTTTAATAGACTGTAGCGGTAACGGTATAACCAAAAAATTCACCAGATGTTTCGCTAGTTGGGTAGCGACATCTGGTGAAGGAAAGATTATTAGCCCTCATTATGCAGCAGCGTATTTATTCTGTGTCCAGTCCCACGCCTGCGACCGTGGGCGCGACGGCCCCTGTGGCCGCCTCCGTAGACGATCGTGCAGCCAATCAGAGGGCGGCGCAACAAGCTGTCGCCCTGGACGAGGCCGCACCCGTCACCACTATCCAGGTTGGTTACAGCCTGTGCACCGGTTACGTTACGTCCCACAGCTGGGCATTAATCTGCCGCGCTCCAGTACTTGATGGCGGCGAACGAGCATACAGTTTCGCTTGTATAATAACTTCGGCGGTAGTGTCGATCGCCGCCGAAGTTATTATACAAGCGAATCGTATACTGGATGAACTTTTTTACCGTCTGGAAAAAATAGGGTGTAACATGTGAACGGAGTACAAGCCTATGGCACAGATATTTTACAAAAAATAAAAACAAAAATCTTGAGCTAATCCTTTGAAATTTTTTTGAACAATTACTTTGCCCTTTGCCCTTGAGGCTGTGACCCTGCGAACTGACAAGTTCAAAGATCCCTACTAAATTTATTGTTTTACTGCCGTTCGTAAAGAAGTATGATTTGAATTTCGATAGATTTTAACTAATTTATTTATTTAATTCAATTTTTTTTATAAAATATTAGTGCCATAGGCTTCTACTCCGTTCACATGTTACACCCAATTTTTTTCCAAACGGTAAAAAAGATCATCAGTATATAATGTAAGTATATAGATTATAAGTAATACTATTGTAATATTTATGATTTTACCATTGATTGGATAAAGACCTCTGTCCTGGGAAGAACCAACAGGAAACCATGCTACTAATCTTTAATAATCAATTACGGTATGTACGGTAGCAATCACCTAATTATTATTTTTAATATTTTAATTACTCAGACACGCAAGTTACCCATGATAGCTTTTCCTGCTGAACACGTAGCTTTATCGGTGTAGACGAGGATCGAACCCGGGTTAAGCACTTACTGCAGAACGGCAGTGGGCGCTTAGATCCAGAATTAACACAGATTTGCATTTACAGCGTATATTATTGCTTACGTAAATGGGAATCGAACACGAGACAAGCGTGCAAAGAGTCATTGTATAGATGCTAATAGAAAAGCGAAAAGATAGGATTGAAACGCGAGAAGACATGATATTTTATATTTTGTTCTTTTATTTATGTATTTATTTACGCCAGGCAACACAGATACAAAATATACACATATACAGATACAAATCTATGCAAAACATCTGCAGTTACCGTAGAAAAATAAATGATTCCGAACATTTATCATTGCTTTTCATTCCAAAAATCAGGGATTTACGTAGTATGAAGAAGAATATGTTGTCAGTCTGTATATCGTTTCATAATTTTAATATCACTTTTATTCGATTCTTACTTCTGACTGCCTCGTTGGTCTAGCGGTTGTAGTAGTGCAACTGATGATCATGAGGTCCTGAGTTCAAATCCCGGGTCGGGCCAAAAAAATCAATTATTGAGTTTTTCTGTCAAGAAATTCTCAGTAGCTACCTGGAGTTGGCTGTGTCTCACCCCCGTGCCTCGGAAAGCACGTAAAGCCGTTGGTCCTGCGTCTGATCTCTCTCCGATCGTGTCGGCTTACCGTCCCATCGGATTATGAGAGTGAAGGAATAGAGGGTGCACCTGTACTTGCGCCATACACTTGGGCACTATAATTCTATCCTGCACCGTTGGCTAGCCTCCGTTCTGGCAGGCCGCAGTGGCCGAAATTCGGTCTGGAGGACATTATTATTCGATTCTTAAAATGACCGCGGCATGGATATCCCTCTCTTTTAGGGCTTAAAGGAATGGGGAATGTTCATGCCCTATAATTTAGTCAAACGTTACACTTGAAAATTTGTAATTTTTGTCTTTTCTTTCCAGTTTCGCTTAGCCGATGGCAGTCGGCTAACGGGTCGCTTCAACCACACTCACACAGTAGGCGATTTGCTGCAATACGTGTCGAGAGCCGAGCCCGCTTACCAATTGCAGTCGTTCGCTCTGCTCACCACATTCCCCAGTGTTGAACTTACCGACCCCACCGTCACTTTGGCTCAGGCTAACTTACTTAACACCACTTTGTTGCAGCGGTTAAAGTAGTCGCAAAGAGATGCGACCGACTGTCTCGACTCAGTCGCGTCGAGCGTCCTAGAATTAACTAGGTCTGATTGAGTTTCAACAGAAGTATGTCGGTGGTTTTCCGGCGGATTTTAGTCGTGCGATTAACGAATTTTTTAATGCTGTTTTTTTTAGCTTGCATCACAAGACTAAGTTTCATTGTGTAAAGCGTTCTTTAAAACCTATTTAGATGCCATGGTTTAAATTGTTATTGAATTTAGTTGGATAAACGTTAAATTATCGTATTTTTTTTGTTGATCTATTTTTCACGCGAATTAATCGTACGACACTGTTAAACAATCTCGCGACATTTTTTACTATATAGAAATCGCAGATATTATCGGCTGTGTATACTATACTATTTAACATATTAACATATGGTCCTTTAGTCTCAATTTTTATAATATGTGAAAAGAGTTTTTACGAAGTTCGATTCGTGCTACCATCACACTCGAGTCATCGAACTCAATCCATCGAACTCAATTCGTCGAACTTATTCGTCGAACTCAATTGATGTTACAATCGAACTTTGTTACTTTCGAAGTAGCACTGAGATGACCATCGTCATCAGAACCATTAGAATCGAAAACCTCAAGCTGGGAGCTCATAACTATCAGAATATTTAAACTGAAGTTTAAGGATTTAAATTTTGATTTAATTTAGACGGATGTATTCCTTAACTGGAACCGGTTTTTACAAAACGTAGTTTATAATTAGTGTCAGGTATAACCTATAGTAACTAGTCTGTTTCAATGTCCCGCGGAAAATATGCGCATTAAAATGTAGTGTATGAAGTTTGACAGCAAATGTCAGAATTTGAGAAGACTGGCGCTGCGGCTAAAGGACTACCTTGACAAAAAGACTGCCTAAACCATAGCTTAATCCAGACTATCAAAAAGCCACATCTTGTAATAAGACTGCCCAGGTCTATTTCGTAATATTTATAAATGTAAATATACAAAATGTGTGTTTTTAAGTTGATTTGTAGTGTATAATGATTTCCGCGAGTATTATATGTTGGTCTACAAAATAGTTGCTTTCAAATTATTCAAAATAGAGTACCAACCGTATCAGATTATTTAATTTTATTAAATGTGACTTATAGAACGAGTCCGTTATCAAAGAAATAATAAAATACCATTATCATAAAAATTAACCAACGCAATTTTTATAATATGGTATATATCTGAGGTACAACATAATTTCACGTGATATTTGATCAAGCTTTTGAAATATTTATCAGTTCCTCAGATCACTGGGTTTCCTCGACTTAATTGATATTATGGTAATAATACTTTGATGTAAAGGACTTTCTAACACCCGTGGACAAACATTTTATAACTACTTGTTTTCACTAAAATTCTGGGCCTTGAAAATGGTTAGAGTAAAAAACAAGTATTATGTCAATTTTGAGCATTACAATAATATAGTTTTCTTTCATATGTTAAAGTAACAAGAGGCTAAAGGGCAGTATGTTAAAACCTTGTTTAAGACAATTGGAGGTAGTTACGTAAACAGGAAGTGATTCACACAAGTGAAAAATGGAGTTTTGATGCCAATCTATACGGTCTAAACTTGTTTAATAAATGCAATTCCAGAAAAGTTATCATTTAATAAAAATCTGTATTTCGAATGTAAAAAGTAACAAGAATGCCAAAAGTAGCTTTCTGCGGATAAGATCCTCCTTTTTGCGTAACTTCGTACAAGTTAAACATTGTCATGTAAAACAAATTTTCGATACAAAATATTTTTTAGTATTGGGCTTTAATAAAAAAGGTAATATAGCAACTGTATTTTTATTTAAATATCCACTCTATCAAATAATAATTTATACAACAAAAGGTAACGATAACAAACATATTTATCTATATAACATTGTAATCATCACTGCGTAAGCGAGATAGGTATTACTGTTTCTTGGGCCAATATTCGACCCGTAACCGTTAAATGGCAGCCATTTTTATACGCCATCTTGTCTTGCGAAACTTGAATTTAGAACATTTACTCAAAATGGCGGCATCAACTGCAGCATGCCGCTTTTGGGAAATTACACGCACAAGGATCTGTCGTTATGCATTCCGCCGGACATATGCATTCGCAAGCTGAAAGTAAAATTAAAATGAAATTCAAGACAATAGAACTCATTGATTTAAAATAAGAAAATTAGATAAGTCTGTACGAAAACTCATACCGATTAACGCAGAAAAAGGGTTATGTTTATATTTTTCGGATATATGTATGTATGCTGGTGTGCGTGTGCTTATGTACGTACGTGTTTAATTATATATGTACGCACGTATGTATGTGTCAGTCTATTTGTAACACCTGTTGTTTAAACGTTCTGGCGAATTTTTTTACTATTAAAAATAGATCACTGCAGTCAGAATTTTTTAGTAATAACTCAAGTTGTAGTTTTACTATCGAAATGCTATTTCTTTTGTTCCAAATCAGTTCTGTTTCTTTATGTTCCACCAGATTTATCTTAAAAACTACTTCAACACTAAATTAGTTTTTAATATAGCAATAATGTGATAAAAGTATATCTTAAAAGATATCAAACTATTCCAAAAGTATCTCAAACTTACGTTTACAGTCTCCATAAGCACATGGATCTATATATTCGGAGCAATCTTCACCAGGTGGCAGGAACGAGGAACGATAAACTGTAGTGCTGTCGAGCTGTAAGGAAGAATAAACTTATGTAAAATTAAATTTATTATTGTAACGTAGCTGATATCCTAAAACTAATTCTATTAAGACCTTCGTTACAGTTACTGTACAGCAGCGTGATCCATCTTTGCATGAAATCCGAAACACCTGATACAATTATAATTTTGTCTATGTGTGGGTTGAGCGTCTAAAAATAAAGCGAGAAAAAGATAACGCCGTTTCTTTCCTTCGCGTTGTTTCAGATTGCCATTTTCAAAAATTAGATACAAAATACACGATATCGGAAGAAACTGAAAATGTTAATTCTGTGTTGAACATTTTTGTTTTATGGTATTAGTATAATTACATACACATTACTCTGAGATTTGCACAATTAATTCACCTATTAATTGATTAATATCAAATTGTTAAATATGAGCTGAATTCTATCAAAAAAAAAGCCATGAATTAAAAGATTTATTTGTCAACGTTTTTCATATTAAAAATATTTCCTGAAATTTATTCAAATTTATTTCATAGGTTTAGATTTTAATATTTATTATAGTTTTTTTTTTGCTTAAATTCAGTTGCTATCGGTTCAGGATACTTCATATTTTCGCTTAAAGGCAATTTCCTCGCGATTGTGTATGTAAAGATTTTTAGTGAGATTGACTGTATGAATAAATTAATTCAATATTTCAAAATTTTATTAACGATGTGTGATAAGAATCGAAATTAAGCGTAATGTGCAATCAAAAAGCATCATCATCTTATCACTCTCCGCAGGTTTCCTACAATAGCAGAAGAAAAACATAATATTGTTGCGCGCCTAAGTTGATGTCATGTTGTCAGGGACGAGAGCGGGGGGAACTTTCCAGAAAATGACACCACTAATCTTTCTACCGACAACCCCATCTAGTGTCGAAACGAAGAACTAACCTTCTAGATGCTGACACTCGAACTTTCGACGCATTGCGCGTATTTACTTGAATGTTCTGGATGTTTCGGTGCTAATGTGTATTTATAGGCGCTGCAAGGTGCGATCGGGGAAGTATTGAATTTGGCGAGAAAAGCGAAGCTTCGGAGCGGAATAAAGTGAATTAGTGTGATTAATAATTAGTCGTTTAAGTTTTAATTAGTGTAAAGTGAATTAAAGAGTTAATTTTGGTAATTCTATCGGCAATTTTTATTGTCACGAACCTCAAGATCGTAAGAATATCGTGGCAAGTCTTTTAGCATTTTGAATTTATTGATCGTTATTTGTAGCGATTATTACTGTATTAACTCGAAATCTGTTTCAGATGTAACTCTTAGAATAACATATATTATATATAAATAGCATGCGTGGAAAAATGATCTGCAATAGCAATAAAAACACCATAAGTAATGTATAGTGTATAAAACAATCTGTCATCCAAAAAAACAAATTACATAACTATACCATTTTTTAGTTTTATTTTATCCCACATGCCAGTGTTAGTGCTCCCCTAAAGTGAATTCGAGTAATTATGGTGTAATCTCTCAAATGTATGGGAATTCACCCAATAGGTTTGTAAAGCTTGAGCTAAGATTACTCGGATTTGTCTTAAATAAATAAAAAGTTTAAAAGTTACACATTACTAAGGTTTGAAATTTCGCGTAAAAGGTTTCATATGGACACCCAACACTTTAAAAAACAGTTTGTCAAAGAAAAACGAACGAACAGTTTCTCGAAGATCCAACAATAAGTTTAAAAACGAACGAAATGAATACAGTTCTACATTTCATTCTCGGAACTGTCTCAATCGCAAAACGTTTACAAACTACATGTTCGTTTGGTAGGTTGGATCTAAGTTAATACTCTATTACTATTGCTTTATGAACTATTGTCGTATAAATAGAAGACAGTTACAGTAACTACTTTTGATATGACGTTACGATTAAAGCTAAAATAAATCTTATTTATATCTATACACAATTAAAATTTGGTTGTAGACGGTTGAACAAAAACGAACGGACCGAGAAAAAACGGTATTTTCGGCTTTCTCTTTTTTTTTTATGCAACTGTTTGTGAAGGTCAGCTTGGTCAAACGTACGTTTTTTGTTTTAAAATTTAAATCAGTTTCAGTTGTCGTCAAGTAACTTGTCTACGCTTACTGTGTTAGCTAATTTCGAATTTGCAAAAAAAGTGACGTATGTTTACACGTGAAAAGTGTTTTGTGTGATATATTGTATACATTAATTGTTTAATAGTTTTGTAATATACCGATAAAACCGATTTAATTTGTAAATATCTTTTGTTCTAATATTGTAGATAGTGTAAATAATGAAAACGTGTATATAAAATGAACTTTTAAATACGCCCGTAACATTTATCAGCCAGTCCTAAGCCTGGAAAAAGTATGAAGGGAAGTTCGCCTTATTATTTTGTAAACAAACATATTATGGTGAAGTCGTTACGTACAACGCGGTCACGTTAACTTGACTCATGGCTTTGATAACGTCATTTTGGCGGTCAGGTACGGTACGAAAAAAAAGCATGTAGCTAAATAAAAACTATATTTTTGATTTTGAAGCATAGGTTTTATTTGTTAATCTTGCAATATGTTCTGTATTTTTTATACAATATAATTTATAACTATTTTATGTTGATAGATATTTATTCAAAATTCATCTTCACTATAAATAATTGGTACAATATCATGGTCTAAACTGTCTTCTTCTTTACTTTCGATCTCGCTGTCGGATGACTCCTCTCCTCCCAGATCGATAACAAATTGCTGCAGTACGTCGTCAACCAGGCCATCTTTTTCCCAGTATTCCAGAAAATAAATAAAATAGTGTTATAAATTTACAACAAAATAATTGTATCAATTTAGTGAATTACTAATATGTACCTCCAAAAAAGTACTTATATTTTTTTATTTAACATCACAATACAAACATAAATACATGCATACATACATTAGATTTATAATTTATTTACGAACTGACCTGTTGTAGTCTCTCGACATGGTTAATTTCTTTTTTCCAGTCTGATGCTGTGATGGAGTTTATTGAATCTCTGGTGAGATTTTCAATTTTTCTTTCTTGTTGGTCTACGTTTTTGTATGCCACCCTCTGTTAGACCAAATTCCAGACATATTCAATGGGGTTGAGGTCACAATGGTGGCAAACGTACAATTTCATTGCCATGTCGTTTCATTAAATCATCGACAATGTATTGCTTGGGCAGCTTTGCCTTTTTATAATATGGTAGAGTTCTCTTTTTCTCATTTTTTCATCAAATGGAATATTGTTGTCGTGCAGCCACTGTTCCATGTCTCCTTTTAACGTTGCACTTGTGGGCGCCTTCACCGACTGCGTTGAGTGGTAAGGCGCGTTGTCAATGACGACTATACTATTTGGGGGCAAGTTTGGTATCAGCTTTTAATTAAGCCATTTCAAAAATTCTCGGTGCAACTGCTTGGGAGTGGTGAGATTCTTGTTCTTTTACTTTACTTTTTCAACTGATTGATTAAAATATTTCTAAGGAAAGTTCTTCCACCTTGAAAATTAAGATCTCTCTTAACAGCTGCCAAGATTTTTTTAAGCGTGGGTACTTCCTTTTTTACAGTATAAAAGCTGTTGATGATATTGCGTATTGCGCAAATATCAAAATCATCCACGACAATTTTTTTCGCTGATTGTTTACGCTTTTTACCCGGTGTGGATAACTTTATTTCCCTCATTGGATTGTCTGTAGTACTTGGACTGGGACAAATGTCAGTGCTTGGAACGGTGCTAGTATTTGGGGCCGTACTAGTACTTGGAGGCGTGCTAGTGCTTGGACTAGCGTCGGGTGAAGAACCCGACGGTGGTACACATAACTTTTTGGCTTCCCTTTTTATACGAGTAAGAGTACTTCTTGATATTCCAGTTGCTGCACAGGTTCGTTTATCAACCTGATTTACAGGTATGCAAAAGCGTCTATTTTTCTCTCATTCTCGAAAAACTGCAGCACTTTCAACACAAGATTTCTTCCCTCACTGTGTATAGTTTTCCCCATTTTAAAAAATGAGTAGTAACAAAAATAGTCCAAAATTAACAAAAACAGTCCAAAGTTAAACAATAACGAAAACGTAACAAAATATCCAACAACAATAGCAACAGAATACTAGTCAAAATATCGACGCGCGCATTGTTAACCTATCTAGCTAACCATACTGACGATTGCCGGGCGAGCTAAGGAAGCGGGCGGGGCCTCGCATTCCTGCGATGCGTCAAGTTAATGTGACCGCGTTGTACACTGGCGGGTTTTTTTGAAAAACTGTTTTTTTAAACTGATCCTCAGAACTGTTTCTCATTTCAAAAAAACGGTTTCGTTTCGTTTTACAAAAAACCTTAAACGACCCAGTACTAGTTAATACTAGTGTATAATCATAGACGCGTGCTACATTTTTTTAGTTTGAAGATAGCGTCCTTCTCTCGGTTAGGGATGGGCAAATGAAAAAAGCGTATCGACATATATCATATCGATACTTTTGAACAGTATCGATATATATATTTCGTGATAAATATCGATATATCGTCATGTTTTGCATGATGTACGGCCCAAAATGATGTTACTGTACGGTTGGACGACGAAAAAAACGACAACAGCACATGAATATTATTGTGACTACTCCTGTTGCTTAATTTTTTTGTCGATTAATAAAACATTTTAAAATATATCGAAATTGATACGTATCATATACATATATATATATCGGTATATAAAATCGGCTATATATTATATTTTTTATGAGAAAATATCGATATATCGATATTTTTTACCGAAGCCTACTCTCGGTAGAGAGTAATTGTGTTCTGTGTTGTACAGTATATTTTAAAGTTGAGATTAACAATTTATTTTATAAAACCAAAGCGACAAACAAGTTTATAGTTTACCTGATAGTAAGTGACTACTACAGTCCATAGATATCTGCAAGCAACTTCAAACAAAAACGAAGGCTACTCTGTGTGTTGTCACCTCTGAGGAATGTATGGAATGCCTCACAGCATGTAGGTATACCGCCTCTGAATATAGATATTAGATACCCTTTATATCGGAAATCGGAATGCAGCAATGCACACACTGCTGTTTGGTGATCAAATCAATGTATTGGTGCCAGAAATTGCTAATAGTATGGAACTTACCTACTACCAGGCAGAAAACGAATCCTATCTCCTAATAATCAATATTTGTACAAAAAGCAATAAATATTCAATACAGCTCTCGATTCAATGTATGAAGTATATTGCGGTCACATTAACTTGACGCATCGCTGGAATGCGAGGCCACGCCCGCTAACCCCCGCACTCCCTTAGCTCGCCCGGCAATCGTTAGTATGGTTAGCATCTCTGTTACACTGTTGTAAATGACGTCATCAAAGCCTTGAGCGCATAAGTTAATGTGACCGAGTTGTAAGTATTTACTTCTAGCTATGCACTGCATGTGACACGAATTTAGAGTAGTCAGTGATGTCATGCTCTGTCTCTGTCTCTGTCTGTATATATGAATTTTGATTTTTAAAATAAATAAATTATTGCAATGACGACGATTTCTTTATTTATATTTCATTCGTAAGTATGGTTTAAAATTGTGTGTATGGACCGGAGCTGTGAACTAGTTCGTAGATCAATTTTGAGGTTAGAAAGCTGTGGCGGGAGTGAAGTGGGGGGCGGAAGTAAATCAACTGAAAGGATTTATGAGTTTTCAATTATTTATAGGCAGTAAAAATATAAACACGAAGGCCAAAAGGCAGTAGCGTAAATTGTGCTGCGCTTCGCTCCCGCTACAGCGTTCTAACCTAACGAAAATAATCATAATTCTTTATTTTTTTTATATAACAACCTGAACCAACATGAACAATACCCAGCCAGGGTTGAGTAAACCTAGGTTTATTCGGGTAAAGTCTGAATCTGTATTTATTTTGGTGATATTTCGGGCTTTACCCAAGGAACTTAGATAATCCTGAGTATACTCGGCTAAACCTAGGTTTACTCACCAAGTTTACCCGTAACAAATATAACAGATGATCGTAGCTCACTGTCTCTCATAGCCTTAACTCTTCCTATATAGCTATGATAAAGAAATAGATCTATAACACACTGTGACTTAAGGACTTATTCTTCTCTCAGCTATCTGGTGTAGATCGTGAGGAGATTTGAGAGCTGGGCAGTTTCGACTCAGAGCCGAGTTAGGCGGATCTAGATTAAATACTTGCTTAAAAAATCACCTTAATTTTAAAAATATTTCTTACACGATCTTACAATAATTTAAAAATAAGAAAGAAACTAACCCTTTGACAGGGCTTTTGGTACTGCCCTTTGCAAGCCCAAGGCGGTCGTTGCGGAGCAGGAGCACATACTGGCTGGTAGGACATTTTTTGAATTGTGCACGACTCCATTTTAGCTGCAGAAACATATTAAAAAATTAACAAATGAAATATGACTTTAAGGATACGTCCTATTTAAAAACCATTAACAAACCTGATGGCTTTTCATAGCATTTAACAGGAGCGAAAGATTCAGGTACTTTTATGCGCCCAGGGTCCAAGTAAGACATGCGGTTCACGGTGCGGTCTGTAAAAATGGGTATTTTTTTATCAAAATGACGGAACCTTTTTCGTTGTGTGAACTACAGTAAGAGGGTAAAAAAATATTACGTACTAGAACAGCTATTTCAAACAAAAAATGTGCGCTAATCTGTGGTTGCGCGGTTGTTTTTTTTATCATAGAATAAACAGGCAGAATGATCAGTAGGTAATATTAGATTGTATTGTTAATTCAATAAATTATATCGGGAACAATTTTTAAATTTTGTCATTTATTTTGTGTACAATATTTGCTTATAATAGTAGATAATATTATATTACACTTAAATTTTAATGATATTTTTATCTGAATATTTTAAAAGGTATCTACATCAAATATAAAAAACATACTAAATATATTTTTAACAAAACTCATTAATATAACATTTATATTACAAATATATTTATTTAAATTAGAATACGAGTCTTTCATAAATGCTGGGCACGCGAGAGATTAAAATGGACGAATTTATTCTACTTTGACTTTGATGTGGAAACCTAAAAATAAAATAAAAGAATAATGAGCAGATTTAAATATAAAAAATTTAGCCTAATTACGATAACTTATATATGTTTCTACAAAAAAATGTGCGTATTCGTCCTATAGTTAAGTACCCACAGAAATGTCGCATCTGAACAAATTAATTTCATAATCTATATTCCATGACACGAGGTGGCGTCTTAGGAATACTTTGTTTTATTATTAATATATAATAATTTTATGGATTAAGTACCTTATTAACCGATGAAAAGTAATTCTTTGATTTTTACTGACATTTTTTGAATTATTCGTGCAATATCTAAGTACACACGATGGCATATTTTTATAAAAGAGATTTTTTTAAATCAACACAACACGTGACAACTCTACAAGCGCCTAGAGAGTGACTGATTAAAGTGCGGTGTAAGCACCGCAGTTGAATGGAAAAGAGTAGCTGAATGTAGTGTCGCCTCTAGTAAGTAGTACATAATAACTCAATATTTAAAATTAACTTAATCTATTGATGTAATTAATACGAGTACGTTGTGTGACTCGTTGCTCAGATAAAAGACGCCGGCGCTTCAACAATGATATCGCCCAATCTTGGTTTGATTTAAATAATATAGTTGTGTCAAATGTCAATAAGTTATGTTGCTTTTTTGATTCTCATATTAAATTTGGCTATTTGGTAGTAGAGCTAAATAACTATTCCGTACCGCAATGCTGCGGGAGTGTGGCTTCGAATCAGTCACGCAACAAGTTTTGGCCTAAAAATAATTTTCCCGAGTCTGGGTGATTAACACAATACCAGCGTATTACCACTAATTAAATACGTATCATGCTGCTATGATACGTATGGTGAGTGTAGAAAACCGGAGACCCTTTTTACTGGAAACGAGGCATTCCATCTTCGTCCTCAGAAGTGATAACGCATCTGCATTTTGATTCATCGAGGATAGATATAGATATCTATGGGCCACAGTGTCCCCTTATCAGGTGGAATGTGTGCTCGTTTATCACCTTTATTTTATAAAATAAAAATAACAATGTGCTGTTAACGCTTACTGGCTACAGGGCACATGTTTAGTGTAAGGGAAACGTCTATTAAGGCCGAATACGAAGAGAACTGGCGAAAATTAATGTATTTCTCTTGACTAGAACTTTGACCTGAAGTAATTCTAAGCTTTAAAACATTTTTGTAGTTTTGTTCGGGTCCTTCACAAGGTCACCGTCATTTTAAAATTTTAAAATAAATGAATATACCAACAAATAAAAAAATGTTAAAAAATGATATATAAAATTATTGTTCTTCCAAAACTCTGTGAATTTTAATTTAGGAATAATTCTTTTACGTAAAAATGTTTGTATTGTGATTCCGAAGGTACCTGCTATCTTTATTTTCGATACAAAATGTTATTTATTAACATAATTCGTTTTAATTAAAAACAACTAATAATAATATCGTATATTGCCAGATAAAAGTTTGCCGTAATAAATTACCAGGCGCTTCGACGTGTGACGTAAGGTAACAACAGTCGATGTGTCTGTAGCGAAAATCGTTAATTTTGTGTTTTATACGCGTTTAAGTGTCTATAAATGTTAATATGGGTAGGAAAAGAAATAAATGTTACCTAAGTGGTAAAACAAAGAGAGTTTATCGCATGAACGCTGCTCGAATGTTGTATTTTGAGGTTAATACTTATATTTTTGTAAGGTAATTTTTTTGTTTGAGGCTGCCTAATAGGTTGCATTTTTACTCATTTACATTAGCCAAACTGATCATTTATACTTTTCTAGTTTCAAGTGAGAAACACTCAAAATGTAAAATATCAAGACCCAGTCGGAAAAGAATGTACAGAGTAGTGCAAGCACAGAGACCGCAAATAATGTCAGTCAATGTATTGTCCGAAAGCATGGGATAAGTACATAATTAAGAAAAACCGAAATACTTCGGATGTGAAATGATTGACCAGTCGGAGTAGTCTTGTGAGAATTTACATACACAGTATCCCCATATGGGGCAATCACCGACTTTTTTAGTTTTTTTTTCTTTATTGTTTATGCAATTTACTTTACGGCATCTTGTAAGACTCACAAGAACAAACATTTTCAGTTATATGAGGTTCTTTACGTACGATGCACCAATAAAGAAAAAAAATCGTTATCAATTCAATAACTTTTCGAACAATATTTTATAACGAATAAAGTACAGAATTTATAATCTATAGGAACTAATATTATAAATAAGAAAAATTTATTTAAGAAGTAAGCAATGCTCTCTGTGTTGTTCATTACTCTGCATCTGATCTAGTTCGTCAAATATAATCAACGCCCGTACGGCTTTGATTATAGGTATTATACATGTCTATATAAACAAAGCGTAGGTACTGGCGGCGCGTGGTTCGCTGCGAAACGAGCAAGGTCATTCGCGTCGTATTCGGCCTTAAAAGAGAGAAAAGAAGAAGTAAAGGAAACAACAGACCTGAACACAAAGGTTTAGTAGGTAAGTCTACGCAGGTATCACCAACCATTTCCTGCCATCTAGCAGCAGTGTATTTACTGCTGCAATCCGGTTTAAGAATTGTAAAGAACCAATATACTTAGAAGCTGTGATACATTCCTTCTTAGTCCTCAGAGATATAAACGCATCTTTATGATTCTTTGTTTAAAGTTGGTTGCAGGCGTCTATGGGCTGAAGTAGCTACCTATAAGGCTCGGCATGTAACTCTAGCGCTGAACGAAACGTGGAGGGGATAGCTGCGAATGTCGAATCAGTGCGGGGGACGGAATGAAACTGGAGAGCCAATTAGTGCGTGCGAACGATACGCACAGCCAATCATACGCAATACTTTCATGCCGCGAGTTGCACCATGAGCTGAGCTATAAGTTTGTTTGACAGAAATCGAACTTAAAATTCGTGCTGTAGTAGCCAGGAGCTAATGTTAATACCCCGTCAGAGTAAAATAAAGTACAACAAGTATGACACTTACTTTCAAAAGGTTGCTCGACGCAATGGAACTTGGCAGGAGGTTTGCAGGACTCTCTAACTGCGCATGGTTTTGGTACAAAGTCGTGGCGCTGCGTCGTTATATTCTGCATGGGGCCCTGGCCCCACATGTCGTGGTGGCATGGTCGGATAGGCTGAGTCACACATACCGGATTGGGCAAGAATGACAGCTGAAAAAAATATTTATATTGTAGGTAAATTCTATAGCTAATTGCCTATCAAGCGTAGCGATAAGGTCTATCATCCGTACAGCGAAAGAGGGCTATGCTTTTATGAGTCGATAAAGAAAAAGAAGGGATCAGTAAGCTAAAGTGATATTGTTTGAAGTACTAACAAGCAATAAAAGGTTCTAGGGTGGCAATTTCGTACTGGTAAGTGGAGTGTCCGAGAGGTGTCGGCCCCACTAGATAGAGTGACGAGTAGACAGTATCGAGTAAATGTGACAGTAACAAGTAGAAGTCTAAAATATCAACATCATCGATTCGCACCGAAAACCTTAAAATATCCAACTTCTCTACGGAAACGCGTATGCGCACATCCTTAGCCCCACTAGGCCAGCTGCCTCTAGGCGGCCTATTCTCCAGAGAGGACAACTCTCCAGAGAGGAGGACTTCGGGTGTTCGACCACTAGACCAACGTGATAGCCAAAACAAATATATTAGTCATAAAATAAAAGTCAACACCAAATAGCCTGCTGATAATGTACTTCAGATTGAAGTTTGGTCACAGTGACAAGTCTCAAAGGAGACTAACCATATGCGCAGCACAGGAGTACAGTGCAAGTGCAATCTCTATTGCCTCACTCTCATAGTTCGATGAAACTTGACACGGCCGTAAAGAGATCAGGCGCAGGACCTACGGCTTTACGTGCTTTCCAAGGGGTTATAAGCTGCTACTGAGAATTTATTCAAACGAGGCTAATAGGCATAGTTCACATTGATTTAAAAATGTAATTACGATTATTTAATCAGAAAATCGTTCGGAAAAATTATGAAAACTCCCTCAGAGATTATCAAGAAAGTAAGTGTATCGTTGTCAGATTAAACCACCTCGTGTTACAAGTAATCATCAGTGGTAAATTATACCTTGTGAACAGTATCTCCTTCCATTTGGGCTGTGGACGGAACTATGTTTGACGGTGGTTTTACTGGTGCTGGTCTTGAGGCTTCCGCAGGCAAATAGCTAAAAAATTAAAATGCACAATATTAAACCTAATTGTAAAGGCTGGATGTTGTATCTCTGTACCTATATTTGTCTCACTTGTATCTCTATGTGATCTCAGAACCGTACCATATGACTGAACGCTCGAAATGTAATGTATAATGGTAACTTTAGGTAATGTTAATCCTAATTTCTTTCCTTACTTATATGGGGTAAGATTAAGTCTTCAAAAAAAATTTCGATGTTTAACTACAAAATTAGCTTGCAGGTAATACGTTTAAAATATAATTTCAGCCTACTCAACTGAGCTTCGGCAATAATGGTGGCTGTGAAGCGGTGACATATTCAATGCATAGATACATTTTTAACAAATTCTAGTGAAAGTTGACTTATATTATTGAAAGCCCCTAATATTATCGTTTCTGCTGCCGGTGTTCGGCATGGTGACCTAGTTTGGGAATTCAACCCATTATTTCAAATTTGAAATCCTGAATATCTGGTACCTGGATAAAAGTACGACGTACGGTGTAGTACAGACGATGTTGACCTCAGTGATCTCGCTCATATTTTAGAAAAGTTTAATACTATTGGTCTTAAATCAAATAGCGATAAATTTTGAATGCTTATTTTCAATATTTGATATAGTTCTAACAAAGATAATTTGATTCAAAATTTCAATCACTTCTTTGCTTGGTGCCTCGTTTTTCTTCGATCACGGTTCTTTAAACGATGTTATCCGAAGAGCTCTTGTCTTTATAAAAATGTTCCCTCGGTTTTAGAGTCATGTGGAATATTTAGAGACGGGGGCAGAACCGACAGTAAGACTTTGGTCTCTTGGAAAAGAGGTGAAGCCCTAGTGTGGGATGCTACTTTACATCGTATACACTTTGGCAGCCGCTCATCCGAGATGCTTAGGCCCGTATTATTAATGTTCAACACAAGTTCACAAACTTGGGAGCAATCTTGAGGTTCTCATTAATAATGATCTCATTAGTATTTTTTTTTAAATATTTTGAAATGTTTTTTTACATACTTAACATGACTATGAGTATTCCTTCACTTACTTTTTATAACCTGTCATATGTTATCTCTTTTTTGTCTTATAAACATATTAACCATGTCTTATTTTGGTTTATTATCTACATTATTGCCAAGTTTTATCAAAATCCGTGCAGTAGTTTCGCGTGATTGAGCTATTAAACATTACCTACACACACCTAAACAAACTTTCACAATTATAATATTAGGGGGATAGTGGGAATGTGTATACCTGTTCTTGTAAATTGTCTGTGATTCAAATCGCTTGGACGGGGTGACCGGATTTATGCAGCTATTCGGTATGATGGCCCGCCGTCGACAGTCGCTCTTAGCATCCAGGTAACTGAAAAAGAAATGAAGTATGTGAAAAGCACAGCTACAGCCTATATACACATCCGACTGATAAACACTGGCCATTCATTCCTGGGTGAGGGATATGCAGCAAACACACCGCCGCGCCGCGCTGTTTCATTGCGTGTTGGTGGACTTCATATTTTTTTTATAGAATTGCGGCCAAAGGAGCATGCAGCCCACCTGATGGTGTGTCTACCGCCGCCAATGATCAACTGCAACACCAGGGGAATTGAATCGTTGCCCCTTTCAAAAAGGTAAGCCGTTTTTGAAGGTTCCTCAGTCGTATCAATTATGTCCTCAAAATATTTTATTCCTAAGATGTGCGCAGCTGCGCCGCTCTCCACTAGATCAAGCGACGAACTGGTAACATATACAGGAAGTCGGTGGATGCAGGTGCCTCAGAACCGTACTTTGTGGCATTTCTTGCGAAAGACCTATGTTCAGCAGTGGACTTGTAAAGGGCTGTGTAGTACGCGACAGGTCGATATGGCAATCGACCTGTCGCTATCTACCTATTCGCATACCTGCATAACGTCCGCGCTATCTTAGTGATCTAAAAAGTCTTTTAGATAGGGTGACAAACGAGCACACAGTCCACCTGATGGTAAGTAGTTACTGTGGCCTATAGACATCTACATCTATCCTCGATTATGAATGAAAATGCAGATGCGTTGTTATCCGTGAGGACTAAGATGGAATGCCTCGCTTGCAGTAAAAAGGGTCTCCGGTTCTCTACACTTACCATACGAAATACAGCAGCATTAAGCTACTATTTCACGCTGGTATTCTGTGAGAGCGTGGTCCTTCCCCCGTCGAGCCGACCCATTCGTGCTACAACTATACTTCTAATATAACTGCAGCATGGCTCTACCACGTTAAAAAATCGACCGCTCTATCGACTTCGATCTTGCTCATATTGTTCTTTGTTGTTATATGTATTAAAATGACTTCGGTCGCTTCCTCGTCACGTATTAAAACAAAAAAAAATTAATTCTCACGACATAGGGTGAATTGTGTTTGACAAACCTGAGGTAAAAACGAATGAGATTTCGACAGTTACAGCAGAAAAAGTAAAGTAAAGTAAAGTACAGCCTATATACGTCCCACTGCTGGGCACAGGTCTCCCCCTCATTTCTGAGAGGGTTTTATTATATATTTAATGCACGTTGGCGAACTTCACATGTCTTCGAAATATTTTTTTCTTATTCCTCAGACATGCAGGTTTCCTTACGATGTTTTCCTTCACCGCCAAGCACGTGGCAAATCAGCACTTAAAATTGCAATTAACAATAATAATAATAATTCTTTATTGAAATTTAAAGACTTTATTCTTTAAGAATTATTATTAAAATTGCAATTAACAATTTCATTGGTGAAGGCGGCGATCGAACCCGGGTTACTCGTGTTTTGTTAAATTTATAGCGAGCGTTAACCATCTGAGCTATCACGGCTCCATATAAATAGTGGACTTTAATAGGTTGTAAAGGTATCTAAGGTAACGTTGCTAAGTAAATACTATGTAAGTAGGTACTATTAACTTGATAGAATTAGAGTCACAAGGCATTCGAGTGTATTATGCAACATAATCCAACCTAAGTATATATTATTTCTTTGACGTTGTAGTGTTATGCTACTTACATACCATTTTACACTATTTTGAATTTATTTTTCCATTTTGTTTTTGATTTTCTGCATTAGCCTCAAAACTGGATATTTTGCATCACTTTTATTTTCATAGGATCCTGTAACGTTTTTAAACCATAAGAACACAATAACAAATCATTTTCACTTCGTATTTTCACGTTATCAGCACTTTTTAAATCGGTGTCAATGGAGTCTACCTTTTTTCGATCATTTATTTAGTTCTCCGTAACTCTGCAATTTCGGGCTTCGTGCGCACTGTTGCGCTACCTTTTTTCCTATATAAATAATATCTAATTTTTCACTTAAATCTTGCCGTTTCTCTATTACGAGCCTAAAACCAAAATTTGACATGTTTTGACATCGTTGTTTATCTGGTTGTCATGGCAATTTTTATTCAAATATCGTTACCGGCCTGATGTTTTTACTTCAAAAATACTCTTTTCTTCTTGGCCATTTACAAAAATTTGCTTTTAATTTAAATAATTTCAAATAATTTCTCGTTCTTATCCCAGATCCGTCAAAAAGTATAAAAGCCGAGGAATCGGCCGATAGAGGTCCTCACTTCAGCTTTGATACGAGAAGCACCTCTGAAAGGCTTTATCCGCACTGCCTCGGGATCTTGCAAGCCTTCTCCTGAAATCGTCGCCTAGCCACGCCTACGCCTCCACCTATTAGTGCCCGCGCTATCTTCAGCCGCTGAGCGTGCTTGTCTCAAGCGCTGCGTGTTCCTACTCCAGACGCTGCGTGTCTACTCCGGACGCTGTGTGTGTCTACTCCGGACGTTGTGTTTGCCTACTTCAAGCGCCACGTGTACCTACTCCAGACGCTGCGTGTCTACTCCGGGTGCTGCGTGTATCTGCTCCGGGCGTTGCGTGTGCCTACTCCAAGCGCTGCGTGTACCTTCTCCAGACGCTGCATGTGCTTTCTCCAGATTCTGCGTGTACCTAGAGCAGGCGCTGTGCACCTATCATAGGCATAGCCTGTGCATACTTCGTTGCAGTATCTTTATTTTTGTTATTTTTTTTTTAATAATATTGTAAATCACTATCATCATTACAGCCCATCATCACCTTCATACCTTTTTTTTATAAAATAAACTGTAAATCTTTTCAAATTTTTAAATAATTTATTTTATTTTTGGTTGTTTTGTTGTAGTTAGGTTAGGTTATTTAGTTTTTAATTGTCGCTTCACGACAACGTATTGAACGTAGTATTATCCACAATAATACAATTACCTCGAATGTGTGTGGCAACTTCAGAGGCTTTCAGCTGGCTACAGATAAGTTTACTTGCTAAAGATGAACACGTTATTAAGTGGTCGTTTTTATATTTATAATAAGTCAGTGCTTAGATACAATTCCACCTGATGGTAAGTGGTGATTAAGCCCTAGATGGTTGCTTGGGCTAAGACAGTGTATGCCTTGTAGTGGCGGTGTAAGAATATCCACTATGCCTAATCATCTTGTGGGTGTCGTAAGAGGCGACAGAGGGAGACAGGCAGGAGATGGGCAGCAGCATCTTCCTGATAATGACTAAAAATAAAAAAACTGCGGTTGCCAACCCGCTTGACAAGCGTGGCAACTATGGCAAATATCTCTTTGTGGGGCAATCTATGGGGGAGGCCTATGTTTGGCAGAGGTCTTTAACAGCCTATTACGGTAACAGTAATGTTTCGCCATACACGTTCAGTTCAACTGATCATTCCAACTGATCAGTTCAAACTAAAACTGTTGATATTTCTTAAAATATTGAATTTTTTTAAAATCTACGGGGGAGGCCTTTGTTTAGCAGTGGTTTTTAACAGGGTGTAACGGTAACAATAATGGTCGCCACACACGGTCAGTTCAACTGATCATTCCAACTGATCAGTTCAAACTAAAACTGTTGATATTTTTTAAAATATTGATTTTTTTATATCTATGGCGTCGGCCTATGTTAAGCAGTGGTCTTTAAGAGGCTGTAACGATAACAGTAATGGTCGCTACACACGGTCAGTTCAACTGATCATTCCAACTGATCAGTTCAAACTAAAACTGTCGATATTTTTTAAAATATTGAATTTCCGATATATCGAATAAATAAAATAATATATAAAACTCCGATATTGATATATTTATAAATATCGATATATCGAAAATTCAATATTTAAAAAAATATCAACAATTTCAGTTTGAACTGATCAGTCGGAATGATCAGTTGAACTGACCGTGTGTGGTGTCCATAAGATTTACACTAATTCTTGTCAATATTTTATAATGTGTCGGACAAATTAGGAAAAAAACCGGCCAAGAGCGTGTCAGGCTACGCTCAGTGTAGGGTTCCGTAGTTTCCCGTCCGTCACAATAAGTGTTCCCACTTATGAGTTTAAAGGTGGGTATCCATTATGTTCGCGCTCCAGCAGCGCTCCGCGCTCCTGCAACTGTTCCCGGTAGTGGGTACTGTTGTTTCCATCCAAGTTCAAAATGATTTTCCTAGAAAGTCCTTATAAAGTTCTACTTTTCAGATTTTTTTATATTTTCTAAACTTATGGTTCAAAAGTTAGAGGGGGGGACACATTGTTTTTTTACTTTTGGAGCGATTATTTCCGAAATTATTGATATTATCCAAAAATGATTTTAGTAAACCCCTATTCAGTTTTAAATACCTTTCCAACAATATATCACACGTCAGGGTTGAAATTAAAAAAAAATCACTTCCCACTTTACTTATAGGGGGGCTACCCTAATAAAACATTTTTTCCAATTTTTATTTTACCACTTTATCGGCGTGATTGATACACATATTGGTACCAAATTTCAGCTTTCTAGTTCTAACGGTCACAGAGATTAAGCGAGGACGGACAGACGGACAGACAGACATGGCGAAACTATAAGGGTTCCTAGTTGACTACGGAACCCTAAAAAGAGCGCCCCACAAGCAGTGTGATCTACTTTCGACCTTTCATAACTCAAAAACGATTAGACTTTACACACTTGCCATTTGATTACAAAATATAACTTTTTCAGTTGCCCTATATCGCCAATCTTTCCGTATTATATATATATATATATATATATATATATATATATATAGAATACTTAAACATTCAGACATTGTATAAAAAATTATTTATTTCATACTTTACCTAGGCATTCTATACAACACTGAATGTTTAACCGAAAATAAGTTGAATAAGAGGTAATGGAATAACGATTTTTTTAATCACGGTTTTTTTAATAACATAAAGATGACAAACGAGCAGACAATCCACCTGATGGTAAGTGGTTGCTGTGGCCCATAGACATCTAAATCTATCCTCAAATCAAATGCATATGCGTTGTAACTCGTGAAGACTACGATGGAATGCCTCGTTTCCATTAAAAAGTGTCACCAGTTCTCTACACTCAGCACACGAAACACAGCAGCATTAAGCTGCAATTTCACGCTGGTATTCTGTGAGAGCGTGGTCCTTCCCCGGTCGAGCCGACCCATTGTACTACAACTATATCTATTAATACAGCTGCAGCATGGCTCTATCATGTAAAAATTATCTTAAAATACTGATTTATGAAAATGACGACCCCAGTCAAGACATGACTAAACCTAATATAATCTTACCAAACCTAACCTAACCGTATCAAATTATATTATATATCATATAATATTCTTTGAAGTCGCCTATATAAACAATTTTTAGTCAAATTTGACTGTGATTCTTAGTAAAGTTGATTTTCACTAAAGAAAATATGCTTTATTTGTTCACATTTTATACTTCACCTGATCTGCTGATGGCATTCTATTGTATGGTATTCTAGTCATATTATGCATTATCTAGGTATTACATACAATACCTTACCGATACCAATACGATAGATTACATATTTTGTAAATTACCTAAGAAACCCGGCATTACACGGAACGATTAGGTATTCCGTACAATGACTAAATCATATGCATTGCCGGTAACATATATATAAAAACTTGTTAAGATATCATAACTCGTCAAGTTTTTTATACATCAAGATATCGTATATACAATTATAAACTTTCACGCCCATCACCCAGATGGGTAGACAGAGTCTACGGACTACCACTTGGCATGGATCTGACACACCTTTTTCGTATCTTTCACATTCATACGTAGGCGGTCCCATAATGAATTGGCCTAACTATGAACCAATGAAGGAAATGAAACGAAACCAATTTTATTTTTCAATATAATCACCATGAATACTAACACACTTCTGACATCTGTGAATCAACATCTTTAAACCTTTATAAAAATAATCACATTTTTTATCCTCAAAATGACTGAAGACGGCCGCCTGCAACTCCTAATCGCTTGAAAATTTTCTTCCTCTTAAGTCCCGCTTTAAATTTGGAAATAAATAATAGTCGGACGGGGCCATTTCTGGACTATTTAGGGTGGATGTTTGGTTTTGGATGTTGGTTAAGGTGGATGTTGAACTTCTGTGAACCCGCATTGACGAACTGCATCCTTCGAAACACCAGCGGTATGAACAGGGGTGTTGTCATGGAGCAACAGGACACCTTTAGACAGCTTGCCTCTTCGTTTTTCCTTTATCTTGTCTCGTAATTTATATATTAAAGAAGCATAATATTAGCCGTTCACGACTGTATTACGTTCTTTAAAATCCACCATCAAAATGCCTTGAAAATCCCAAAATATTGTGCACATCAGTTTTTTAGTCGATTGTTGCACCTTTGCCTTTCTAGGGGGCTTTTCACCCTTATAACGCCATTCCATTGACTCGCGCTTGCTTTGTGGATCATAATACAAGATCATAGTTTCATCACCAGTCACTAGCCGCTCGATCACAGTCTTTGGATTTTCGCCACAAAGATCCAAAAACTCAGCGCAAACGCAGCGCAGCGCACTCTTTCCTGTCTCTGTACCGCTGAAAGAAGTTTCGGTACCCATCTTGCACTCACTTTTTTCATGTGAAGATGTTCATGGATCGCGCGATGAACGGTACTCTTAGAGAGCCCAAGCCTTGCTGCAATTTCTCTAATCTTCAAACGGCAGTCACTCAGAACCCCCTCTTCGATAAGAGCAATCGTTTCGGGAGTGAGCACTTCCACAGGTCGACCGTCGTGGCCAAAGTCTTCGACGGTTTCTCTCCCGAGGCGAAACTCTCACCCAATTTTTCACTGTGCTATAGGAGGGGGCATACTCCTTATACACGCCATCCAATCGTTCTTTTATTTGGGCTAGGGATAAACCTTCTTTAAACAGAAACTTTATGACACTTCGATACTCAGTTTTCGACATTTTGAAAAAATACGCGACTCTCGTTATTCAAATGCCTGTTAAACTAAGACTAAGCATTTCATGTCGATGCATGTTTCTTATATTAAGTGCACGATAAACGTACTATTTAATGCAACACAACATGTAGCGACATGTCGCGTTGAACTATATCAGGCCAGTTCATTATGGGACCGCCTGGTATATTTACGTATACGTGCTCATGACTTGGTCTATCTTCAATATATTGCCAATTTGGTGACTTTCGTTTAGGTCATTCTTTACCGACTTTGCCACCCACTTCTGCAGAATAAATTTGCTTTGTGAAACTTTTTTCATTCATTTCTTCTATGTGTCTTAATCACTCAAGCATTCATTTCATAAACCTGGTCACATCTTGCAAACCACATTTCTCTCGTATCACACAACACGTATATACTTTAACATATTATGTATTTTATTATCATATATAACATATATATATATATATATATATGTATGTATGTGTGTGTGTGTGTGTGTGTGTGTGTGTGTGTGTGTGTGTGTGTGTGTGAGTGCGTGTGTGTGTATTTGTGTAATTATATGTAATGTAGGTATATTTAATGTGTATGTGTTTATACCTTAACATACATTATATGCATAGATTACATGCACTAAATGTATATGATAGTATGTATGTAATAGGGTATTACAACCATTTTCAAAAATTGTTTTAAAGGGATCCTAAAGTGATATTGAACCACTATAATTATTTTTTTTTTAAAACCGAATAGTGCCATAAAAATACTTTTAATCTAGCGTTTTAAATTTATCGTGAAAATGCTAGCCGCCATGATCTTCAACTCGTGACGTTACAGTCCTCGATTTCACTGATTTTGCAAAGGAATAAGATACTTTTTAATGTTTAGTCAGTGACAAAGAACACTAATACCCTTAGGTTTGATCAGTGACGTCACGACATGATCTAATATGGTGGAGAGCGTTTTGCAGATTTGAGGCACAGGCGAAAAAATATTTTTTAAATTGAAATATAAAATTTATAATGCAATTTTATAAACAGAAATAAAATTTTTTTTGCTTACTTTTTACAAAATCTATCATGAATATATTTTTGATTATATTTTACATGGTGTAAAATACCCTATTGCACATGGTACAATACATCATCACGCCTCGGGTTTACTGGTAACTTGCAGAGAATGCCATAAGTCCGCCGTGTGTTATCTTATTTATAAGGGGATAACAATAAAGTATAAATAAATAAATTAAGCATCAGAGAACCTAAGAAATTTAAATCAATAGGAGAACGGTTTTTCCACGTCTACTTTTAGCAACTGCTATTAAAACTTGGCACCCACTAAGATATTAACTCCTTTAACGTCGAATCCGACAAACGCGAACGTCGTTTGCAGAAACAGAAATTGGCGCTCTTTTCCCATTTGTTTTTTTGGCGCCATCAATGTATAATTTACCTTAGAGTGTATGTAGTGTTGCCTTCTATCCGCTGACAGGGTTTCTGGTACTGACCCTTGCATGCCCAAGGCAGAGGCTCCTTGGGTTGCACCTGATGATAACATAAGGTTTAAAAATTAAATATAATTCAGATACAATGTAAATGCAACTTCGGATAAATTTTCTCAATTTTTTTGACACGATGTTTTAAAAACGGTTCTTAGAGTGAAATGTATGCTTTTTTTTAAAGACTTATCGTTTCGCTGTGGTTTTAAAAAAAGGCTGCTCTGATTGATTTTAAATTACGACAGTGGCAGCGCAAAAATCACATGCTATCGAAATTCTCGAACAACTCTGCATAATTTATAACAATCTCCGTCCGTATATGATTATATATATATATATATATATATATATATATATATATATATATATAATATATATAAAGTATGCAGTGTTGGTTTGGATAGTCGCTCCCCGGGCTGTATATCTTAACCAATCGTAGACTTTCTGTTTTCCTTTAATGATTTAGTATAGGTAAATAGTTTTCATTTGCATCTACGTATAACAGGGCGTACACAGTCGGTTTTTGCTCGCTTTCATGAATATTAAGATCTTTACTTATATTACTATAATATTTACATATACAAACATAACCAAGTCAAATTCAAAGTCAAAATATTTAAACTCAAAAATAGCCTATACAAAACATTTTTTGAAAGTCAAAACTTAACCCATAGTTTCAAGTTCTTACTGCGGTAAACTGTGTGAGAAGAAGCGACAATAAAATAACTTATTATTAAAATCAATTATTATAAAATATACACTAAAGCAAAGAAGTCTGAAAAGCTTATTATGTTCACGCATTCCTATCTTTTAAATAAACCATTTAATATCCTTTATTCACAGGAATGCTTTTAACATGCGCTTTGACTTTAAGCAAAGGTAATTAAGTAATATTAGAGGGAATCTTGTTAAAAATAGTTTTACATTTATCCAACATGAGCCTAAATAGTAAAGATATTAAATTCTTTAAAATGGTCTCTGAGTGAGTCCCTTCGTATAATATTGTAAATAGCACAATAACATATACATATACTTGCAAGATAGTTGTTACTATAGCACCTATAATTAAAGAACTTTGAACTGTTTTTGGATATTTAGTTAAAGTCTTTCTTATATGGTAGAGCCACGCAGTAAATTAGCAGTTTAATGCTGCTATTTTGCGCTGATATTCTGTGCCTTTCTGTCCCTTTTTATTGTAAACGAGGCATTCCATCTCAGTCCTCAGGGGTGACAACGCAATCTGCATTTTGATTCTTAACCGGGGATACATGTAGAAGTCTATGGGTCACAGCATCCACTTACCACCAGCTCGTTTGTCACCCTTATTTTATAAAAAGTCATTGACTATTATATTGAAATCCCCACACAACAGATCTCCCTTATACATAAACGAATACAGGTGGTGGAGCCACGTGTTTAAGGCTGCCGAAAATCTAGTTCCCCGGTCAAACCTCAAACCTATTACGCGAGATATTAACTAAAGTGGACTGTATATGTGATTGCTTCTATGCTTATGTGAAGCGACTACTATAGCATGCGGTACAATGCACTCGCTCTTCCCTAAACTAAACTATTACTTGTCGAATCGATGAAAGGAATCCTGCTTGACTAGGAAAAAAACACAGATAGGAGCGGGTTAAATTATTAGCAAGCAGGTATAATTAAGGAATATTGACTCACCGGGGTTTCTTCTTCCTGTCGATCACTATAGCGACTTCTGGAACACTCCGGAGAGAGGCGGTGCGCGACGATATCTCACACGAGGTGAGGCGGGTTCCTGGAGCTCGACTGCTTCCAGGCCAAAGCGGTTTCCACTAGTGAGGTGTTTCCATACGAGCGCGCGGGAAGAGGAGGTTGTAGTTCAACGACGACTGCGGCGGGAGAAGAGGCTCGCGCATCGGTCGCGCGTGTCTTATATATCCTCGGCTCGGGTGATTACGCGATGTTCTAGAATCGTCTTCTTTCCCCTCCTACCCCACCACCCCGATGTGTCGATAGGAGGGTACGAATGATATTGTTTGGAAAGGAAATAATGATTCTACAAGTTCCTACCGTCAAAATAAAAAACGCGAATGGTTTTCCGCGCAACCATCTCCCCCCGCCCTTGAAGGGTTTCCTTCAAAAAAAATAACTAAACAACTAGAGCTAAGATCGACTAACAAATAACTAACTAACGCTAAGATTACCTAAATTAAACTACAATTTCAGTCTAGAAAGCTAATTTAAATTATGGAAGAGGCAAGGGGCACAAACGGATAACAGGACGTAGGTAAGACCCAACCGTGGTCTTAACGCGAGCTATCCTAATTACTCCGTCGGAACCGGGAAAGACCTCCTCGACGATTCCTAACGGCCAGTGGAGAGGCGGCGTATTCTCCTTAGTGAGCACAACTACGGTTCCTACAGCTAAAGGCTCTGTCGCTGTGTTCCATTTTTGCCGAGACTGCAAAGTATGCAAGTATTCCATCCTCCATCGTTTCCAAAACGATTGCACTAACCGATCTAATAATTTGTGGCGTGTGGAAATGCTAAGTCTGTTCTCATCCATATCCGCGGCGGGCAGATACCTTAGAGGCGTTAAAGTCAAAAAATGTGCTGGAGTTAGAGCCAGCGGTTCCGAGGGGTCACTAGATAACGTCCGACAAAGTGGGCGGCTATTCATTACGCATTCAATTTGAGCGAGCACCGTACTTAGCTCTTCGAAGGACAAAATTTGATCTCCTATTACTCGGTATAAGTGGCTCTTTAGACTTTTAATATTAGTCTCCCAATTGCCCCCAAAATGACTCGCGGCTGGGACGTTCAGAGACCACTCAATGCGGTTCTCGGCTAGAATGTGAGCGAACTCCGAATTATAATACTTGCTAGCTAAGAGCTCGTGTAGTTCCGATAGAATACGTTTTGCACCGACGTAGTTCGTACCGTTATCCGAATATAATTTACTTACAGGGCCTCTGCGCGATAGAAATCCTTTAAATGCACCCATAAAGCCTGCTGTGCTTAGATCACCAACGAGTTCTATATGCACTGCTCGAGTAGTTAGACATACGAAAATGCAGACGTAAGCCTTTGTGGATCTTATACCACGCCCGCGAGTGAGCGTGACCTTAAACGGACCAGCAAAATCAGACCCGGTGTGCGTGAAGGGCTTTACCGATTGTATCACTCTACAAGATCTAAGTTCCGCCATTTCCGGAAATGACGGCTTGGGGCGTGCCCGAAAGCAAGCTATACATCTGTGCACCCGATTGCGTATTAAACTACGTGCAGAAAGAATCCAATAATTCTGACGCAAGATCGACATCAATAAATCGGGGCCAGCGTGCGAGTTCAATTTATGATGATAATCGACTAATAAGTTCATGATATGGTCTTTACGCGGTAAAACTATAGGGTGCCGTTGGTCGAAACTCAATTGCGAGTTGGACAAGCGTCCACCTACCCTTACAATCCCATCCTGTAAAAATGGCTTAAGGCGTTGAAAGGCGCGACTACAAGCTCTATTCGATTGTAATCTTGTAATTTCTTCAGAGAAGTGCGCACGTTGAAGTTCACGTAATACTAGCGACTCGGCATAGTTGTAATCGGATGCTAAGACATACGGACGTCGCGGTAAAAGCTTCGCGAATCGACAAACGTAAATTACGCTACGCAATAATTTCGACCAAGAGGACAAGCGGTTCGCCAGAGCAATGATTGGAGAAACCTCGCTCGAAACGTTCGCCACTAGAGCGTGTCTCTTCTCTTCCGGCGGTTGTGACACTGACGAAGGTTCGAAATCGGTTATTGGCCATTGTGAGGGATCCAAGTAAACCCAAGAAGGTCCATGGAACCAAAGCGGGTGGTCCATTATTTGCATCGGGGTGAGTCCCCGGGATAGACAATCGGCAGGGTTTTCCTTACCGGACACGTGATAAAAGTTCCGCGTTTCTAACTCGTCTTGGATCTTGGCCACTCGGTTCGCGACAAACGTATCCCAACGGTGGGGTGAAGAATGAACCCAACATAAGGCGACGGTGGAGTCGGAAAAGGCAAATATTCTTTCTATGTGAACTCTATCCCTACATGCGCCGATAACTGTGGTAATAAGCTTGGTGAGTACTAATATTGCGCAAAGCTCTAAGCGCGCCAGAGAGACAACCTTACGGGGGGAGACTCTCGACTTAGAACTAATGAGGCTAATCGAATTTCTACCATTATTCTGGACATGGAAATATACAACGCCCCCCGTAAGCCTTCTCGCTGGCGTCTGCAAATCCAACAACCGTTATGCTGCTATTTCTATCGACATTTATATGACGCGGTATTTTAATTTCTCTTAGTAAAGGAAGTTCCTCTCTAAAACGCTGCCACAATCGAACAATGCTGTCAGGCGGCGAGTCATCCCAATCGCATTCAAATAACCAAAGTTGTTTAATCAAAAGCTTAGCGTATAATACCACCGGAGCTACGAAACCCATGACGTCCCATAATCTAGCAACGCATGACAGTATTGTGCGCTTTGTGCATTTCTCTACGGGCGGATTTACCTTAAGGCTAAACACGTCGGACTCTGGTGACCAACACAGACCGAGCACCTTGTGTGTATCGGAATCGTCGAATTCCTTTATCGCCGAAAGACGGTGTGATAGTGGGATTGTATCTAAAACCGGACGCGAATTACTAGTCCACTTCACAAGATCGAATTGACCCGATTTCATGAGCCTTATAACCTCGGCGGTGGTTAGGGTGGCCTCCTCCACGCTATCGACCGAATACACAAAATCATCCATATATAATCCGCTCTCAATTGCCCTCTTAGCTTTAGGATAAGAGGGACCTTCATCGTGAGCGAGCTGTCTCACCGTGCGTAACGCATGAAATGGGCTCGACTTTAAACCAAAACAAACGCGGTTAAATTCTAACACCATTAGAGGTTCCTTTGGGTGGAAACGATATAAAATGCGCTGGAATCTACGGTCGCATTCACGGACCCCTATGCAAAGAAACATTTGGCGAATATCGGCGGATAGTGCTATACTAAACAAACGAAAATTGACTATTATA